CATAAATGGACTTATTCATCTTTCAGTTTCTAAAAAAAATCAAAATGTTTACTGACTGAATATTGAACAGTGTAACCATGATCAGACGACACGGATGAAACAAAAACGAAGCCTACATGTGACTTCCGGTGCATTTGAGGTGCACATTTCAAAATACAAGTGTCTGAATTTTTCCCGAAATTTCAGACTGAAGAACATACAAGATAGTGTTTAAAATTTTATTCGATCAGCTTATGAAATTGAAGTTTCTGATGAATATGTTGGCAAGATAAATGGAGAAACATGCATCACTGCAAGTTTTTTGGACTTTTCAATGAGGACACTGTCTATAAGAAGTAACAAACTTTTTTGTGGCAGTTGGAATGTAATAAGTTGTGACTTTTATACACTTTATTTATAATTAATGTAGTACTATGACAAATATAACGCTCCAAATCACACAAAAATAAATGAAAAGTGAAAGGTATTTGACATAGATATAAATTAGATTGTAACATAACTGTATTTTCTATGGTGTCTGATTTGGTACGCTTTTATGCGTTTAGTTGGCGCTAGCGACAAAGCGCCAAACGGCGCGTTGTCAGACTCTCGTCTAGCCGTCCTGTCTCTAGCGGCACGCCAAACGGCGCGTTGTTGTGCGGCGCGTTGTCGCGATGTCGCCCTGTTGCTTGGCTTATAAACCAATCCTTCATTTTTAACCGAGCGACAATGTGACATCGCGACAACACGCTGCACGACAACCCACCGTTTGGCGTGCCGCTCTAGAGACAGGGCGACAACGCGCCGTTTGGCGTGTTGTCGCTATCGCAAACTAGACGCACAAAAGAGTACCAAATCAGCCACCATAATTTTCACTGCTGTATTTTCAGTGCCCTCCCTCACTTCAAACCATTTTTTTTACAATTGTTTCATTTTTTATTATTATTATTATTATTATTATTATTATTATTATTATTATAGCTTACATACATGTATAATTAAGAATATTAAATAAAGAGACTGTGTGTATCTCAAAAGCAGTGAATGAACAAGTTTTTTATTTGCTTCTATTCTTTTGGGTTCTTATTTGTCTTGTAAAGATACGTAAAGTGGCGGAATATTCCGAAAATTCACGAAAATGATTCGATTTTTCACCTTGAGAGGTTATCTTATTCATAAATTATTTGAAATAATTTCTGTGTTGGTTGTCATAATTCTGTTATAGACTGCATATTCATTATATGAAAGAATATTAAGGAAAGATAACTATGGTATTTGTTATAACTATTTAAACACTGAATAACATCCCTTTAACAATTACTACGGTATCGGTCATGATATCCGTTATGTGTTGAAACCATTTAAAGTAACCTTGTTTAAGAATTTTACTATGTAGGAAGTTTTATTTCATATTATTTTTTTCTTAATTTTTATTTGCTTTACTGTAAAGAAAAAACGACTGTTTCATGTAGTGTAAGTAAATGTATTTTAAAAGAGTTAAAGTGGCATACCTCCAGATGATTTCAAAATATCTTTACAAAAAGAAAAGAAAAGAAAAACACACTTAAGGAAAACATTTTTATACTTATGAAATGCATAAATATTCACAATGTAGGTGAACTTTTGTATGTATATAAAAATATATTGCAAAATATTACACGATTTAATATTTTTATCACTAAAATTCTACCTCGTTACAAACGGAGGAATGACATTTAAGCCGTGTCACGACAAAACCAACACAGTGCGTTTGCGACCAGCATGGATCTAGACCAGCCTGCGCATCCGCGCAGTCTGATCAGGATCCATGCTGTTCGCTTACTAACTCTATTAAAAGTAGAGAAACTGATAGCGAACAGCATGGATCCTGATCAGACTGCGCGGATGCGCAGGCTGGTCTGGATCCATCTGGTCGCAAACCCATTATGTTGGTTTTGTCGTGACGCGGCTCACTTAATAACAGCTTATTTCTGTAGATACGGGTGTCAAGAGCGTGGTTAGTAAATCATTTAAAGGGACTTCACTGAGGTTTTTTTTTTTGGCATGAGTGGACTAGAAATATTTTTTTCAACACTTGTATGCCATTTAATGAAGTTTTAGAACAATAATTTGTGTGCAAACTTTAAGATAATTCTTTCAACCCATTTACCAGGATCCTCATATATATTGTGCAAAATGACCTAAAACTGAAAGTGGTTTGAAATCAAACTAAGAATCGTGCAAAATTCGATGTTCCTTTTAATTCTGAGATTTTTTTATTATCATTTGCAGATTTCCCCAATATGTGTGTTAAACTTGATCTAAGTAAGAGTAAGATGTTTAAAATGTATGTTGTTAAGCTTTTTGACCCACTTGACAACATTTTTAAAAATTATAATGAGTTGTATATGTTTATTAAAACTGACACAGATCTAGGGGCGTGCTGCTTTAAAGTCATGTTATCTAAGGGCGTGCTGCTTTAAAGTCAAATATTTTTGAAGTGTTTCATAATTTATTCTTCCATTTACAGCTGATAGATAAAAAAGTGATTATTCCTTGATAATAATTATTATCAAAGTATTTCTATTTAGTCTTATCAAGTTGATGTACTTTTGATGTATAAATAATTGAAGTATAAATTATATGGTAAATATAAAAATATTGTGTAATGCTTTTGTTAAATAATCTCATATATACATTTATCTATAGTTCCCTTTATTGGCGATAAAATTCCAAATAGCTTAAATTCTGCTGCATTTTAAGATGCATGAAAATATTTTCCCTTTTATACGAACTATCACGAGGTTTTAAATAAAATTCAGTTAGTTTAAAAACAGTAACTGTTGCTGAAAATATGCAAGTTCAGGGGTTAACTTTAAAAGATAGATTTTCCCATGCCTTGACATAAACTATTACCACGTGCAAAACATGCAAGTTTTGTTTTAGTTAATCAATTTGAGTATTATGAATCGTTGTATGATTAATAATATGTACTTTCTGTATTTTGAATTTGTGCAATATTTTATAACAATCTATATACATGTATGCATTATATTCCAAAAATTTGAGAATATCTTTTAAATAATATTTTTTATGATAAAATATGAAAAGAAAGCGTTTCGTTTGTTTTATCGCCTTCATCTTAAGTATATAAAAAAAGATTAATTTGTTACATATATCATTGTTTTGTTACCTTTCACGGTGAAAAAGCGTTTATCTACATGGATTGATGCTCTTATATAGGTCATTATACATTCCCACAAACAAGCATTTGGAAACTTTATGATAAAAGACTTTGTAGTTTCCTTTTTTTACTCCGACAAAGAATTGGAGCTAGCGAATATCACTGCGACCAAAATTGACAGTATACTTGTGATGGGAAAGAAGGGGCCTCCTTTGCAATTATTGTTTCGCTGCGATAACGATGCCCTGAATGTATCTCATCATTGTTAATATCCCTAAATGCTTTCTGATTAAGATTAATGCCCATAGCCATCATTTGGACCACATGACATGTTTTGAGTACATAGAGTCATTGCTAGTCAGTGCTATGTATTTCATCTGATTGCTGCTAGATATTTTCTGGTCCTTCGGTATCATTAACTCCATAATGAAAACGTGATGAAGATTGAAGTCGATGTTGGGGAGCATGACAGGTGTTTGATGATGACGATGCTTACGATGATGATGATGATGATGATGGTGGTGATGATGATGATGATGGTGATGATGATGATGCTTATGATGCTGCTGATGATGATGATGCTGCTGCTGCTGCTGCTGATGATGATGATGATGATGATTAAGAAAGAATTTAAGCTACCTCCCTTAAAGCTTCTTAAATGAACATTCAATTTGTTTCATTCACACTTTGAAGTAATTCACCAAAATGTCTTTTGAAGTATTTTCCTTTAATGATACCCACTTACACTTTTTTGAACACTTTACAAAATGCATTAGTCTTGTCAAAGCAAATGTCAAACTTACTTAAACTCTTGCAAAAATGCATTGTATAATGAAACACGTCAGTTTTCCGTTTGTTATGCTTTTAAATCAGGGCTTTTGTCAATCGCTCAATAAATAAAAGATATATATTTGATCATAAAATCTTAACATATTGTCACTTTTTGTGAGCCAGTGTTTGTAAATATCGTTTTATCTACTGTCTTCAAATAATCGTTTGTTTTGTTACGTTTTACAACGTTTCTATTTGTTGATCATTAACATTTAACTGCTATCATAAATGATAATATAAAGTGCACACATTTGTATACCATTTAATGATCTTAAGACCTTAACCTATTGATCCGTTCGTTAATATTGATAGGTTTAAGACTTGGAAGTGGCATAAAATAACATTTAAACGAATTCTTAAGCGGACTTGAAATAAATTGTTAAATCAATCCATTATCTGATCATTATCTTCTAGGGTATTATGATAAAATCACGTGACTTAGGATTTTTATTTATTAAATTTTTGAAAAGCAAACCTTTATGTTTACATTAGAATTACAACCTATTTCAGACGCGGCATATGATATGATACTGTAACGGGGGTAGTGAGATCGAAGTTTTATTTATCGATGCCTTGTGTTTTTCTCATCCTATAGGTGAATTTAAGTTCATTAGAATATTTGCTTCGTTGTTGAAGAAACAATCGATTAAGCTGTAAGACGTGCGTAAATTTGTTTAATTAAGACGGAGGCCATGTTTAATATACGTTAAAATTGATCCGCCCTTGGATATATTGAAGGCGCTTTAATCGGCGAGATAAGAAATTTTACTTATATTGTAAATTTATAGGCATAGAAATCGGCGGTCTTAAATCAAGTGTACATCATAGTCACAAAAGATCACAAACAAACCGCGCTGTCGATTGAATATTGTATTAAATTACAACAGTCAAATGTTGGGATGTATAGCAGAAATTTTGTGACAGAAGAAATATTCAACTTATTCGTGGATTTAATTAGATAATAAAGTCGAAATTAAGGTAAATATCTTTATTAATTTTCGATAAATATATCTATAATAAAAGAAAGTGACATCAAATTGACTTATTATTTCTGTTTAATGTCAACATTTTTTCTTATTGCTTGTAAAAAATCTTGTAATGATTATTCATCAAAAAGCCGTGAGGTTGTATTGAAGTTACTTGTATTATATTTTTATTGCATTTAAACGATCGTGTAAAACCATACTTAAAGAATAAACAATCATTAACTTAATCGAAGCCAGGGACCTTATTAGTTTCGAATCCGCTTCTGGAACAGTACTGGTGTAATAAGAGGAAATAGTTGCATAGCCAGTGATGTGTTCGAACCTACAATCCTTGGGTTGAGGGGAAGATGCATTAACCACTAGGCCGTTCATTCCAGTTAAGTTGATTTTGTCTATGAAAGGCAAAAAGTCTTAACTAAACGCTTGTAGTTTCTTTCATGTCTACATCTACATCTACATCATACTGCTTAGCAATCAATTTGTACTAAAGACCGCTGGTCAACCATAGTCTACTATATAACAGTATTTAAAAAAAATTAATAATGGTTGGAATACCTGAATGTTATGAAATGTCTGTATTTAAGGTGTTTTCTTTAAGTTTTGCTTTTGACCATAATAATAATCATTATGCTTTGTATAATTTAATTTCATTTAAACATTGAATTTAATTGATTTATTTATTTGAGCCTTTCAAAAAAACTGGAAAGAACATAATGTTTCAAATTGATATATAGCAACTGTGCATATGTTTTACTTTATATATACTCTGATGTGTTTGTTTGTCGTATTCGTTTATTTCTTCGTTCGTTCGTTCGTGCATATAAAATGTATTCTAGCCATCAAATGTCCCTAGGACATTGTTTTGACATTTTCCATTACACGACTAATGGGCCGAAATGATTTACAATTTAGAATCTTATAATTTTACATAAAAGGATCTGCAAATTATCTCTTAGTTGCTGTATTATTCCGATTTCTTTTTCATTCTTTCTTTCTTTACTTTTTTCCTTTCCGTTATGTTTTACTAATTCGTATAATCATAACTCTGTTTTTTAACAATTCAATTTAGTCCAAAAATACCTATAACGTATTAACGTTCCTACAAACTCTGATTTAATATTTAAACAGATAATGTATCGTCCTCGTAATATCCCTTTTACAAAAGAAAATATTTTCATATATTTCTTTCTACTTACAAAACATTTACTACACCGTACCGTCACCTGTTTGATATTTACCATAATTATAATTATTGGTAAGGTTTGAAAATCGCTTCGTAAATGTTACTTGTCTTAATTACAGACATACACTGTATATATTTACTGGGCCTTACAGAAATAATATTGTTTTGCAACTAAGTGGTTAACCTAGTGATTAACATGTATTTAGAAATATGTGTATAAACATTTTTAATACATTTTTACCTAACATAAAATCATACATCGTCTATCTATTTCTTAAATAACAAGAAATAACAATACATAATATACATGTAATATATGTTTTGATAATCTGCAAAATCGCGCACAAAAAGCTTCATTAGATTTAAATTACCGGTTGGGACGTTTCAATTATAATATATTCATATTAATATTCAGCATAAGAAATCTAAACTGCCTGGTAGTTTGATTAATAAAGAAATTAATAGCGACAAAGCAATAATAAGATATTTAAATACTTAAAAATGCATCTCTCTTACAAGTTTCGTGCCAGTGATGAAATACCCATTATTTTGGCCGAAGGGATAAAGAAGTTATTATCCGAAACTTGACAAATTTGAAAGGTGGGTTTTTCCCACAACTTATTCCCAGGTACAAACAAAATACCGGTTATCAGCCTGTTGCGCTTATTTTCGAAGTTATAACTGTAAAATTTGTATGTACCTATGGAATAGCTGAGATAACTAAAAAAATTTTCATTCCGGAGTAAGTTTAATGATATATATCATAAGTCACTTATATATTATCTTATTTTTAAAAAAGGATGCATGGACGTTAATGCTTATCTCCTCTATGTAAAACAAAAACTTTTGGTACAATAACCATAAAACGTGCCATCGGAATTAGAATACTGATCACTCGTGTTCATATTTATTTTTGTTTCATCACCACATTTTGTACAATCAAACAGTTTAATAAATATCGTTAATAATTATATACATTTTTCCTTTTGTTCAGATAGACATGGAAGTCTTAAAACGGAAGATTGCAGAGAATAGGGCAGCCATCTTGCGTGACCTTGACCTTAACAAAGATTTACTTGCGGCCTTAACGAAACATGAAGTCGTCAACATAACAGACTGTGTTAAATTACAGGTAACTATCAAATACTAAAATATCCGTGATCTTACATTGCAAACATATTCTTTTATTCAATTTTGTTTGCACATTCAAATTTTTACAAGTTCAATATCCTACAAGCAAAACGTTTGATATTTCACAACATAAACTACTACAAAATCTTGAAAAAGAAGGCCGTATTGTATACAACATTTTGAAACAACTTGTTATTATACTGAGGAAACGTGTACTGTATTTTACCAAACGACAATTAGTTTCGCGTTCGTTAGATGCTTTCAATGTTCTTTACAGATATCATCATGATATTTATCTTGTAAACGACGTATCGTTGGCGGTACATATAATCATTTAAAATTATATATAAGTTCCTGATTTGGCCAAAACAAGAAAATATTGGACGGTCAAGTATTTAAAATCAGAAACAGTGATTGGATGTAAGTAATGCGTTTAAAATGACAAGCTAAACATGTTTTACCACTATTTTAATTCAGCAAACGGAAGATAATTCAGCTAGAAACAAAGCGTTTTTGGATATGATTGTAAATAGTGGAAATGACACAAGCACATATGTAACCCTGATTGAATGTCTACAGAGATGTAGTCAAGGCAATGTGGCAGCTCTATTCATGGACGTTGGGGAAGAAATGCAAATATTGAACCAAAGTAAGTTGACTTTATTGTATTTAATGTTTTCAGATCAAAATGTAATGAGAACAGACCTAAGCCTCTAGTCCAGTCTGCACGTTGCCGGTCCAATTTCATTATTTTAGCAATTTATACCAGGCAGTTCTTAGTTCTAAACAGAACATGTCCATAACACCAAGTCAGGATGACAAGACTTATTGTTAACTATCATTAGCAACAACTTAATCAACACGTTAACATTTTATCATAGTAAAATATTTTGCAAAGATCAACAGTAATTCATGGATGAATTCAGTGACTGTAAAAGAAGTGCCATGAAAATTCTTATTTATTCAATAATAATTAAGCATGAGATCAATTTTCTGCCCTTTCTCCAAATACATGTTTACATTCATAAAAACATTAATTTAAAATTATCTTTTTTTTCTAATTTCCGGCTCTTACATTTCTAACCTTACACCCAGTGGCGTGGCGTGAATAAAATATTTCACTTTAGAATTGAGAAGTGTTTTTTATTGCATTTCAGTACAAATACATCTAGACACACAAATAAAAGAGATGAACGAATTTCTTGCCACAGAAGAGCGGCGTGCGGGAATATATTTGACAGAACCTCCAATGGATCAAGAGAATGACAAACCTGCTTTGACAGATACCGAAGTCTGGTCTAAAGTGCAACAAAGTTTGAAGCGTTCCGAGCAGCAATTGAATAGATGTCAAGCCGTTATCAAAAAACTGCACCAAGACTGTGAAACTGTTGCCAAACAAAATTTTGATATTATAGAACACACTAAGGAATGCGACGCGAAAATTAAAAGTGTTCTCTCGGTCGGTAGACAGTCTGCAAAACAGAAGACTGTGCCAAAGAAAACACAAGACTTGTTTGCGAATCTAATGGATGATATAGAGAAACTAGTGAAAACAAGACGGAAAGTTTTGGATAAAGAAACGGAGGGAAGACGGCATTCAACGAGAATTATACGACAGTGTAGAGATTGGATAGAGAGTAGGTGCTTAACGCTTAAGAAACTAAATAATCCATCAAGTCAAGGTACTCCAAAATTAGAAAACGGTGATGAGGAAAGTGCTGTAAGTATTCAAAGAGCAGCCCCTCCTGTGAATGACAATGCCATATTGTCAGTACTTGACGCGCTACAGCTTTTGGAAAAAGAACTGCAGGAATATGTGCATCAAGAAATTACACTTTCAGATAAGTTCAGAACAGAAATAAGGAGAAGACATTTGCAAAAGAAGTTACACGGGTTTAACGTTCAGGGCATGACAGAAATCGAAAATGCGTTGCACAGTTTAGAAAAAGATCCTGCATCTTTTCAAGATAATATAGCTGTAATAAAAACTTCAGTACGTGAAATTAACAGAGAATACAGCGAATGTGTGAGCTTTTTAAATAAAGTTGATCCAAATTGTGACTCCGCTGACAGTGAAAAATCAAATTCTTCACCAGTAGCTAAAAGAAGAGACTTTAAAGCCGCACCACGGAACTGGCCAGGTAACTTTAAAAGGACAGCAAACTTCGGCGGGAATCTAACTCGTAGCATGGACAATAACCTCCAAATGGCTGGTCGAGAGAAATCTGAACCAAATCAATTACTGAATAGAATAAAGTCATTAGCCAGTAAACATGAAGAATTAAAAAATGAGGACCTGAATTTAAGCTCTAAGTATAGAATCGAGATATCCAAAAAGAAACGAGAAATGGATTTAGTGATACAACGAAAGGATGACCAGATTTTAAAACTTCAAACTGATGTTAAAGAGATAACTGCTGAGAAAGAGAAATTTAAGAAATTGTATAATGACACCAAGATCGGATATCAAAGAAGTACTGAACACAGCAACAGTTAAATCAACAAGTCCAACGGACGGCTCGCTTATTACATTCAGCTGAGCTAAATGTGCCTCAAAGACATATTAACCAAAATGAACAACAGTACATGTAGTTAAAATCTGAAATATTTATATATTTAATTATTTACTGTTCTTTTTTTATTAATACTATAAAAAATATCGTAGTAAAAATAAAAATCAATATAGAAATGAATAAATATACATATTTATTACATAAACGTCAGTACTTTTCATTCCTATATTACTTCATTGTTACAATACCTTACAATACAAAACAATCTCTTTATTTACTTCAAAGATATGCACATACAGCATCCATGAATAGAATTTAATTATAACAATATTGAATTACTAAAATGAATGATTCATATAAATGAGTGACAAATAAATACTATTCAATTATAGCCAAAATACTTAAAGATCCTGTATGTTTTATTCAATTAAGGTTGTAACCACACTTAAGTGAAATTTTATATATGTACATGTATATAATTATGCTTCTAAAACAATTTTCGAACATCGAATACTATGTAAAATATGCATTGCGAATATTTGTGCACATTATATTTAATCATTAAGATATATGCATTCATGTCTTATTGAAAAATTTGGCTGAGACTTTATAGAAAATAAATTTCAAATTACCTCCCTTTATTAACAAGAAATGTTAATTCATTATATCTTTACAAATAATGCATTTTTGAACTTACAATAATGATAAATCTTCATTTGAGCATTATATTTATGATATAAAACCATAAAAAATGAGTTACAGGATCTTTAAATATCGCCACATCTTTCTCAAGTGACATTTATAATTTTAAAAAATTGATTGATAGACCGATAATATTCAATTTCCAATCATTCTTTTCCCGATACATTGTAATATGTGTAGATTTTTGGGCAGATTGTCATTAAAGTTCATATTATTTATGAGTGAATTTAAAATTTCTAAATGCTACAATGAAAATTATAGTGCCCATATTTAAATGACATTGATTCAGGTACCAACAAAAGACAATATTGTTTCAAGTACCAAAGGTACGTTCAAAATTATCTAGCGCGCAAGATCAACAATAATAATAATTGTTTCAAAATTTCGTTATGATTTTTGTACCAAAATTATACAATGTCGATTCAATTACTTTAATTTCATAGTAATGTTTTAGTGTCAAAATAATACAAAATTGATTGCAATGCCTAAATGATGTCACAATATATGTCCAAATATTTACAACAGTAAATTCTAATTACATTGTATTGTATATCAATATAATGACTTAGTACCAACATTTCACAATACTAATTAAAATTATTTTTGCAGAATATTCATCGAACGTTTTTTATGAAGTACTATATGTAAATATTTTCATCACTTTGGAGGTCATTTTGTAGCTTTCGCAATTTCAGCCAATAATTTGGCAGTAGTAATTCTAAGTCTGGGATCTGTCCTTAAACAATGTCTGATAAAGGGTTCAATTTCAGTTCCGACCATTTTCAACAGGTTTGTTTTACGCCCATCCTGAAAAAATGTGAGGAATTTCAATATGCTTAGAGTAAAGTGAGTGCTATGTACCATATCAGACAGATTCATGTGTTGGCACAATATCTATGAAGTTCTTTCATTTACTGCTGATTCATGCTTACACATAAAACATTATGAAAATCCTTTAAACTACCCTTTTAATTCGAGTCATTCACTTGATTTGTTTTCAACTTTTTAGGAAAAAACCGTCTCATGTTAAAGCAAAGAAATAATAAGATGATTTTTTTTATTTCACATATTTCATTCTTGCGTTTTTTAATTGGTATACGTTTCTAAATCATAATATAAAATCATGCATACATATAAAATTACACTGTACGAAAGCTGCATGGTCCGATGATTTTTAATAGATTTAATTGTTACTTTTTTTATTGGTATAAAATACTTATCTAAATTATATTATAAAATTATACCTCATTGTACGAAGGCTGTCTGTTCCAGATTTCCCACAATACTAGCCCTAGGCTAAACACATCAGATGCCTTACTGTGAAATGTGTTTGCCAAAGAAATCTCCGGAGCCCAGTAAACGCATGTTCCTAGATCTTGACCATTTGTGCAAATCTACAATTGAATTGGTGAAATTTTCGTGATACACTAATGCATTTGTCATGATTCACTTCGATTTGGTCTATTTAATCCATATACTAGTTATCACAAATGATTACATGAAAGATTTAGGTCACAGATACAATAAGCGCTATTGCAATCGACAAAAATCATATAACACACAAAACTATTTTTATCATCTAAATCCAAACTACATCTGTTCTATCTGTTAACCATCTTATAGACGTTTAGGATAAAATCATCTAGTCTGCAATAAGCATACGAATGTTAAGCGAATGTCAGAAGTAAAATAACTTCACTTTTCCAGTCTTCTGTGAAAAAGACAATAAATTTTAGCCAGATATAATTACAAAAATGTACTATAAACTTTCTGAAGCATTTATTTATTCTAGAATAAATAAATAAATAATGAATAAGTAAAACACCAACTGCTTTCTCCGACTTTGCACAGCCAACATCAGAAATAACCACACTTAAAAAAGCTGCTGTATGACCACTTGGTTCCATTTCTTTTTTGACCTAACATAAATAGAAAAATGTCAGTTATATATTCATTACACACAATGTGTCATTCTGAACAAGTGTTTATTCGTACATAAGTTTAAATGAAAGAAAATAAACTTAAGTGTATTATATTTATCTCATTATTTGCCATTAATCTTTATTTAAAAAGATGTTTTGAAACAAACAAATAAATTACCAAGAAATTTGATGGTTTAACGTCCCTGTGTATTATGTTATTTTCATGAATAAAGGCAAGTCCTTCTGTGCATTGTTTTGCATAATGAAAAAACTCCCGTTTGTGTTTTTCATCGGAGTGCGATCTTGGGGCGGATATGACATGTCTTTTTAAGTCTCCACTGTATCGTTCCATGACAATACGCAAATTCAAAAACCCGTCGGTAATAGAAATTCCAGTTCCAAGAAAATTCACCAGTTTGTCATGCCGTTTCGCCGACAGTTGTCTGTAAGAAATATATGTATATGTATAAGTGATTAACATATATATATGAGTTAATCAAGTGATGCGCAACCTAGATCTAAAACTTCATCAACAAAATTAATATTTAGAACATCATTGGAGTCTCAGCATAACAGATGGCAAATATTTGTCAAAAGGAATTAAATACTACTGATTTTACAAGTTATGACCTTTTTATTCCATTTATGTTCATGTTTGTTTTCTACAACACTGACTTCTGCTATGATTTTCTCTCTCCTAAATTCACTAGATTCGTGACAGTGACAAGTGAAAACTAAACAAAATAATGTTTTAAATATGACGAAAAAGGCATCTGAAAAACCTATCTGCTTTAAAGAGACAGACCTGTCGCAGAAGAATAGCTTTATCAAAAATAAAATTCCAAAGTAACCTTAGGTAGAAGCATTCTCTATAGCCGTCCAACTTGGCCGGTAAACTAGTACTGTTGTCTGAAGTGTCAAGCTTACATTTGAACTCTTTTACTGCTACACACTTGTCGTAATCAAAACTGCCTAAAATGAAATGGGTAATTGCTAAAAATGACTACGAGCAAAGAAATGTTACTGTTATCTAAACGTAATTGAATTATGTACTAAATATGCATCCCAATTAGATAGTATTACAATTAAAAAAACAACAGAAACATAAATGATTGTTGCAGTTTTATTTTTCATGACATTTTAAGTTCACAGCGCACATTACTATTGGAAGTAGAGAGAAAATATAATGAACTGATTTTTGAAACACTAGAAACAGACCGTTTTAACTTTAGGTACCTACAGTACTTTATTGAAAGTGTATTAATATTTTCAATTTAGTATAATACAAACCAGAGAGCGTTGCTTCATAAGTACACGCATTTGTTCCTTGGTCTATTGTACAGCGATTGCCTTCTTCGTTACGTATCCAAATAATGTCATCTATTTTTGTGAACTCATGCTGCATAACTTTTTCTATGTAAAATTTCATCATGTTAATGACGAAACGTTTTGCACATTTCTGACATTCTTCATTCTTATTACAGGACATTTCTTGAAGTAGCTCAGCGACATGTATTACTTGGTCTATCTGAATGTTGACGACCTTATTCTTTGGCTCTCCAATGAAATACTTTAAGAGAGGTGAGTGTTTCTCTTCGCCCTCACCAAAGTCGTTCATAGCCATATCTAAAACTCTTTTTGTTTCCATCTTCATAAACTCTACTTTGTTTTCTTTGAACTTTATTCTTTTTGCATCATTCCTTGTTTCCTGGATATCTTCTATAATTGATTTTCCAAATAGTCCTAAGGGGATAAGTGGAGCCACCATTAGTACTAATGGATTAACAAGAGGTACTGCCCGTATACTTGCGCTGATAAAAACAGGTGTTAATAATGTAAACAAACCTTTTCTCAAATAGGCATCTTCTTTTTTCATTTCTTCAAGACCGAAAATTGCTTCTTGTAAGGTCTGCAACTCTTTGTCAATGTGTCTATACTTATTATTCAACGACTGTTCATGGCTTTTTTTCAATTCCGAAGTTGCATACATTACTTTTTCCTCCACTTTTTCGCCTATCAAAGCGTATATGGAGTTTATTAGCTCTGACCAGTCGATATTGGCATTGGGGATTTTATCAGCTATCTTATTTTCTTCCCATATGATAGTTTTAAGTTCTTTTTCATTACGTTTGAGTAGCTCTGCTAGCTCTTTCCTCGCCTTTCTTCGCAAATCCTTGTCAGACTTTTCTGCAACAATTTCCCGAAGATTCATGGCATCCTCAATCGTTGTTCGGAGATTTTCATCTAACTTGTCAACAACTGGTGAAGCTCTTTGCCCAAGCTTGGCCATCGTATGAGCAATTTCTAGCATTCTTAAAAGCCATCTATGATAAAAAAAAACACCTAGGATTTACTTTAGTTTACAAGAAATTTGTCCGTGCCCGCAGTACTTAAGCTTCATAACTTTATGTTAGTTACACATGTTGTCTTCCATAGATGTCATTAAAGAAGTGTTACATTGAATATTCAATATAGGCCAAAGCGTATACGAATGTTCCAAGGTCTTCAATTGTATTTCACTCCATCAAAATGTTAAACGTAACTTAGCTAGTTCTTAGCGGCGGTGGCAAATACAATACAACTAATTACACATGAATTGGCTAAGTCAAACCTTCAATGCAAAAGAAACTAAAATAGCAATATTGACAGGCCATTTGGGTCCCAGTGTCTCTATGTGAAGTTCGATCAAAGTTTCTTTCTTGCATACTAAAGTACTCAGACTGTACATAAAAGCCCTGCAAATGTAACACTGATCTAGAACGTTGTGGTTTTAGGCGCATGAATGGATTTAGTCCGAATCATAAGCAAGGGTGACTTTTGTAAACTTTTTTAAAGACATTTTATCTTTATTCCATAGTTTTGTAATAATGCTGCATCCCTCCCAGACCCAAGCCAGTAAACAAGTAGGGTAGGTAGGTATATTTTAATATTCTTTTACCTAAAATATATTTATCAAACATATCTTTTTTGTCTTAATTTTACAGATTTAAAGAAAGAGACTGTGAACGCTTAACATCTGTTCAAAGTTTAGAACCAAAGTTTCAACGTTTTATCTAATATGGGTTCACTCCTCCGTAGAAGACGAATGATTTTTTCCAGATACCAGTATATATATTTCTAACAAAACGAGACAAATATAAGATAATTTTATGTGATTATCATCGTCAGATTCTGCTTCTATGTTTATTTAAATCATTTAAATCATTTATTGTTTGGCAATAAAACTTTTCGGGAAGCAGTGATTTTTTGTTTGTAATGGATGGGTGAAAAATAATATGTTAATACATAATACACAATAATTTAACATATAAGACAAGTCAGAGCTAGGTATGTTGACTGTTCATGGCACATACTTACATACAATGCTCCTCAAGTGTAATTCGTATGGTGAACAACAAGAATTCTCGTATCCATTTTCTTCTTTCCTTATCATTTATATGATGTTCTAATTCCTGCAACAAGTGTTTATGAACTATGTATTCAGACCACCAGTAAGTATTGCCGACAAATATAAATGCCAATAACGTTTATAAATAAAAAGTAAAGTAGACATTATTTTAATAAAATTCTATATGAAAAAAACCAACACTATTACAGTAAAACTAAGCATTTCAGCAATTTTATCTTGGTAAAGTGCATCATATCACTGTAAGCCTTCTTCGTCTCGATAAAAATGTTTCTTTACAAGCGTCTTCATGTGTGTTCTTGTATATATATGTGTATTGCTAAAACAGTCAGTTTCATAGAATTATTTTAGTGAAATTATGAAATAATAGAAAAAGTCACTTACAAATTTTGCATGAAAAGGAAAAACATGTTCTTTACAAACAAGTGGCCATATTTCGATGAGTTTTTGTAGGACTTCCTCTTTCAGGTCATCTGATTTTTCTTTATCGTCTAGAACTGCTTCTGTTTTGTTAGCAACAAAACGTGCCAAATTGGGATTAAAATTCATGTTTCTTTTCTTAAATTCTTTTTCTATATCAGTCATTAACGCCTTGACCTGAAAGAAGCGTAAGACGGTGATGAAAAAAGTTGTTTCCGAGTGTCTGGTAATGTTGGCCTTTATAAGAGGGTTATCATGACCAAGAAAAAAGTACAGCAGTTCTTAGCTATTACCAGTTTCTACTTTATTTTAAGTCCAATATATAAATTTTACATTTCTCTTTTTGACAAAACGAATTCCACTTTATTTTACATTTACTTTTATTTAAAAACATCTTTATGGATTTAACTAGCAACAATGTCGAGCATGATTGAAATCTCATTAACGAGATCGATCAACGTTTTTATCAATATAAAGGATAAAGGCTAAAAGAAGTAACATTTGGTGAGATAGTTGCTTAACCTAAACAGTCCGTTTAAAAATTGCTCACTAAACTAGTAAGGTCATTTTCACTTTTAACAAAAAAATACCCAAAATTTTATGAAATCTGATAAGACACCATTATCCCCCAGCAACGAATAATATTTTCATTCTTTAAAAAAGGCAACCATAAATTTTGTAGCAGAAAAATAATGATTTCAAGAACATGTTAGATGCTTATAGCCTCTAACAAAAAGTGTTGGATGTCATTATTTGTCATAAAAGTAGCATAATGTAAACAATGAGGTATTTTGAGTTCCATATAATATACTAAATCATAATAATCATACTAATTATATAAGACAAGTCAGGTAATTGGCAAGTGAGTTTCTTTTTGAAAACTTAAATTAATTGCGCAGCAGAAATATAAAAAAAAACACACTGTAGTATAATGGACCTTTAAATCACAGCAAAATGATAAAACGATTAAACAAAACTCTATCATTACCCCTCTTTTCTTCACACCCGAATCTTTACTGGCATCTATAATGAAAATGAATGACTGGCAGTTTTTACTTTCTCGTATCATACCAGTATACTCGGGACTGTCAGTCTCGTCCTCCTGCAGATCTATACCAGGACAGTCCAATAGTACAAACTGAAAGTCCCGCTCCTAATAATAGTAAACAGAGAAAAATATATTATGTCCCTTTTCTTTGTTGTTATTCGAATATACGTATTCTTTAGTTAATATCATCAAATTTACTAATTAGTTAAATATTTGTCGGTGTAACCTGTATGCTTTAAAAGCAACGTTTTATCACTGTAGTTAATTGTCAGCAAAATAATTTTGTAATATATCAAACTTACTGAATATTAAAATAAGTTACTGTTATGTTTAAGGAAATATTTTCTTACATTGCAATATAATAAAGATAAAAAAATTACACGAGAACGGGTATGTTCCTCAGCAGTGTTGATATTTTCTGGAACATCTGATGGCATCTCATTTTGACTCTGTTGCAAGGTCTCTTTCCGATAAGTTTGGTCTAAGTCACCTCCAGACTGTAAGGAATCTCTACTTTCTGAAGATCTTCGACTGTCCGTTTGAGTAAATCTAAGATCGTCATCGTCTTCGTTAATATCAGCATCGGAAGCGTATTCCTGTTCTTTATCTCTTCGTTTCTCTGGTTTTAATGGTACAGACAAAAAGTTCTTTCTGGTACTGTCATAACTATTGGGTGCAATGTCACTTGCATGTTCCACTGATGTTGAAACGATTTGTTGTCCCTTTACCCCATCATTTTCTTGTGTGCGATGTTCTATAGCTTTATGTTTGCTTCTTGGAATACTGTCTTCTTTTGTTTTTGAGACATCAACATTTGAATTAATGGTAGTTTTTGGTGTTGTTTCGTCATTAGATGTTCGAACTTCTTTAACATATGTTTGATGACTGTCACGTGGTGCATCAACTTCCTCTCTTTTGAAGCTTTCAGCATGCGGTCTCTGAAACAAGTCGTTCATAGATTGATAGACAATGATCAAATAAAAACGCTTATAAACCATTGTAACTATAGAATTAAGCAAGTAAGTTTACAACTAACTTTAACATTAAGCATTTTACGTTGATACATTTTGCAAACGAAAATAAATAGCAAGAAAACAACCTAAAAAGGAAATGCTTTAATGGTAAGTAGTTGTTCTATTTTCTCACTAAATATGTTACGTCTAGATCCCTGAATGAACAAATTCCACTGTTAATGTCCTGCTATTTATCGAGACCTAATATGTCAATGATAATCACGTTTCTTATGAAGTTGTAGTATATAGAAAAAAAAACTGAGTTGGTATTGACATTACTGATATTTGACGGGGGAAAAAAACACAATAAAATAAGGACTCATGATAATACATAAAAATGAGTAAATATACAGTTAGATTATGTCTCCCTCCTAATCATAGCTCGACACTGACATCCAATTTGTTATAAAAATAAAATGAACTACAACTCAAATCTTACCTGCAACCGATCAATAAAGTCCTTTGGAAAATCAGAAGGTCCACTATTTCGTCCATCAGGTTGAGGAAGTGGCCTGTTTTCATGAATGTCCTATAATGAAAAGATGCATTTGTTGTTTCTCAGATCATTGACATTCATTCCCATAATTCAAAAAGATCATTTAAAACCAATTAAGAATACAGGCTTTTTTACTCATTTGAATACACATTTAAGTGAATTGATTAGATGAAGCCTTAAATCGATTAAAAATGCAATCTTAAAATCTCAAATTACAATGCAAAATAAAATTGCTAAACTATTTAACACGAAACATTTAATACCTAGAACTAAATGACAATATAAACAATGCACGTCGTTTTAATTTATACATGATTGCAAATAATTAAGGCGCATATTCTTCACATGTTGTTACAACAGTATTCTACTTTGGTATTTTTGAGGTCATTGAAATTCTGTGAAAAATTCGTCTATATTGAATCTTACGTCAAGAATATTTAAAGGCCAATAAATGATAATTCTTTCAACTGTTCGATTTTGTTTTAACTTCTTTTCATCTTTTTTGCTATTGTATTTTCGTGTTTTGATACATTCCCTGAGCTCTTGCCATGCGCTATTGGAACTGTCTTCGTGTAATGTAATACATTCATCCTCGCGCTTGTCCTCAAACTTGAGAACTGCAAGCCGTGTGGAGCAATCATGGCGAATCTCGCATGCAACATGCGTAACCCTTCCTCTGTCCATTGGTAGGTACTCCCCACCCATTTGAATATTCACAAACGTTGATTTGCCAGCGTTGAACTCTCCTGGAAATGTAAATGCGGCTTTATTTTTTAAACAATGACCGTATAATAGTCATTAAAATAAAAGCACATTAACCTCAGAAATGAACCAATTTTATTATGAGGAAAGAGCAAACATTTGTTTTATGATGTGGTAATAATAGATTTAGGATATGTAAGGTGATTTTCACCTAAAATAAAACGCTGCTTGTGACATAATTTGAGATAAAGGTAACAAAATGTGAACAACGTGGTATTTTTCTATACAAAAAAATTATAATTTTAATAATTCGAAAAACGTTACATAGAACCAAAAGATCAATCAGCTATATTGCAAATGTGTACACTTAATGAAACCGTAAAAGAACACCAAAAATAAAAAATGAAATGAAAAATAGAAATTAGAGCAGTTTTTGGGCTTAATGCGTCTTTTAATGCATCGTGCTTCTTACAATGGTAATGATCTCTTTATTGTCCTTTTTTTATTAACAAACACAATGAAACAGCATTTTAATTTCTTATTTAAGTTATCGGTCCTAAAGGTTCTATATGAAAACAAGTTACTAATATTAAATTACATATCAATCATTATCGCATATAAATGATACGTTCAAAGATACATTTGTAATTCAAGCATTATGTAACGGCCTTGTACAGCATTATCTAATCTTTTGAAATGTACTTAGTCATAGTTTTATCTTCTGTGATTGACAGTGACATTCGATCTTTGACAGTAATGAAGAGAGTCGAAATATGTGTATGTGTGCGTGTGTGCGTGCGCGTTCGTGCGTGCGTGTCTACTCACCTGTTACAAGCACGCCTATTTCTCTTTTAGTCATCTGTGTAAGCCTGTCTTCGACCATTTTTATAACTGACGTATTGTTGACAGGCTCGAGGTGTAACTGTAACAAAGGTTGGGCGCATAGTGGAAGAATTTTTCCGTTTCTTAACGCTTCAAGTACATCCCTAAATATCCTTTCACATTCTGTAGTAAGTGCGCCCAAGTTAGCAAGCTCTTGCCGAAACTCATTTGTACTTTCCTGTATAAATATCATAAAAAATCTGGATTATACTTTATACGCTCTTTTCTATACGTACGGTACATATGATATATAGTTTAAACCGTTATAAATGTATATTATCATGTGTCACGATGAACCATAGGTATTATCAGATACTATTTCTACATGTAATATGATACTGAAAATATATAAAATACATTCATACAGACAACAATATATATTTGTACATACATTACATACATATTACTTTAACGCTACCAAACCATTACTTGGGCGAACCATTTAACATTTTGATCTAATTTTTTCCAGCCAAGTAACAACTATATTAAAAAAATATACATTTAGTTGTCAACAAAATAATTTACTATCCGGTTTGTTATAGAAATTTTAAGGTCTATAAAAGTATGGAGGTTTTAGAGGATACTTTTCCAATCTAAAACAGCTAGATTTTTTATGATGGACTAATTCTGCATTGAATTAACAACAGTCTATGTTTTAAGGATTTTAAGATCAAAAAGCTTTATCTTATACCACATATGTATAAAGTCTAGCCAGAATATAAAGATATGCAGCTGAACTTAACAAAGACAAGAAAGTATTGCCAACACTCAAGTGTTGAAAATTCATGTTTCATCAGGGTACTAGTTCGCCATTTATTGTACTGTTTCATTTTTTTTTAGGATTCATCGAATGAATCGCAAATCAATCTAGTTAAAAAATCGAATAATTAACTACCGATTCTTTGAAAAATCATGTTTTTATCAAGGTATTAGTTCGCCATTTATTGTACTGGTTCATTTTTCATTTATTTATTTATTTTGTTCGGGGATCTAGTCATAATTAGGTTTAAAACTTTTATTAAGTTTTACAAAGAAATTGGTTATCGAAATAAGTGCAGTGCTAATATGAAAATATTTTCATCGTTTTCCCGCACTTCTTTCCCATTTTACCTGAATTTTAAGAGTTCGTGTGCAAAATCAATTTTATTATAAGCTGCATACAAATAAAAGAAACAACACATCTGATCATCAGGTAAAAGATACAATTAACGTATTAAAGATATTTGTGATCGATATCTATTAGATATAAAGATCTACTTCTAAATATTGTTAAAATAATATCGTGCGAATTACGTTCTGTTTACGTCGAGTCAAGAGCAAGAATGATGCATTATCTAAACTAGTAAATCATAGTTTACCATCTAATAAAGTAATTTCAGCAATTCACAAACTATACAGCATCTGAAAATCTTCTTTCCGATAACAAAAGATTAACCTACCTCTTCAGCCATAATTTATATATGTTCTATAGTGACTTCTAGCAAGTGTCCATATCGTAGAATTCAGTCATACCCATGTGTTTCTGCGTCTTGTGGCGAGCATCCGAATGGTGGTGAAATAATATCAAAGGTAGTATTGACTGGGTATTAAAAATAACGATCAGGAAGAATAATTAATTTGTATACATTACATTACATTTATTTATATACATACATTTTTATTGGTGAAGATATGTAATACAATAGGGTGTTATCTATAAACATTTGATATCTATATTTAGAACATAGTTATTGTAATATATAGAACGCTACAACTTCTGTTGGTTACAATACACCATTGCTGTTAGAATGGCTTTTTGAGTTTGTTTCCATTAAAAATGTAACCTTAAATCGGGTTTTAATTTATTAACACTAGCAATACTGTATATTGTATGCATATATTACACATACATGTACTTTAAATGAAAGTCTGAAACATTATTTTCGAAAGAAAGATGATATGTGGCGATACAGCGCTATAAAAGTTCCTTTTTCCCGGTGCCTTGGTTTTGGTAAAATTAAGTATAAACTAAGTAAAATGTGAGGTCAGAATGTTCATCCGAGCAGTTTGGCAGAGCCTGTTAGTTGCCATATAGTTACATATTGTTCAAAGTCTTTCATATCGACAATGGACAATTTTAGTCAAAACATGACACATTTTGAAATCTCAATTTGCATAGAAAACTTTTAAAGCCTTTGTGTGTGCAATGTGGTAAACGCAATTGACCATGTCTTTCTTTAAAAAAAAACCGCACAAACAAACAAAAAAGAAACAAACACAGTTCAGAAAAGTCTTGAATTTTGCAACTCGGTCCTGATGGTCATTAGAAATAATGGTAACATATGTTCTATTGTAAGCTAAGTCAAAAACTGTTCAAATAACAACTTTTATTGATAAAAGGTTTATTCTACAATTTCTTTATTCAACTCTGAAGAGCACTAAATTTGCTAGATTCAACAATAAAAGTTTCCATGAAAATATTACAAAATGCTCTTGTCACTAGTTTTCGCGACTGTCAGGATTTAAAGCCAAAATGCAAACTGAAAACAGCCTGTCATGGCTACTTATATAGATTCTGAAAAGGCCAGGACTTTCACAATTGACCAATCATAACATTTCATTTGGCCTGGCAGTCTGGCAGGAAAGACAGGAATTTCTTAAAATGGCAGCCATTTTGACAGGAATAATTTAGAAAATGTAAATTAACAAAATTAACTAATAACAAAATATGCAATAAACACTTGAATTACATGCTTAACTTGATGCACTTAAGATCTGGACCAAAAAATATCATGGTTATAGCTAAGAAAAAATAAACTATTGATATAAAAGATTCCAAGTGCCAGGAATTTGAATTTTCCCTCCTGACAAACTTAGAGGTCATACCGGTCATCAACATTATTATGAAAAACAGCAATGCCAGCTAACTATTTGGAAAGTAACTTATGTCTTAGGTAATTAAGGATTACATTCTATGTTCTTACATGTAAAATGATAAGTATTTGTATATGTTTATGAAAATAAATGCATTTAAAGTTTTAAATCAAGGTAGACAACTCTCGTCGGCCATTTTGATGCCAGGATAAACAAAGTAAGTAAATAAATCATTTCTTGAAGTATAAACCTCCTTAGTGTGCCTTATATAGTCCTAGAGCCTCAGAATGTCCTATATCATGGTCTTAATTCCTTCATTTACCAGAAAATTATCTAAACAAATAAAATCAGCAAATATGAATGGCTGAGGCAAGTTCAGGAATCCTGACAGGTAAAGTTCAGGAATCCTGGCAGGTAAGTTTTAAGCATTGACTGAACAGTATTACCTCACTTGTCAATAAATTATGCTAGTTTGATGTTCAAATTGTCATAAAACATAGTTTGTTTTAAACTGATATATTCATTACAAGGTCCTGAAAGTAAATTATTTGATAAATATTCACAGTCCCTTACACTCTCCCCCTCTTAAAAGAAATAAAATACTTTTAAATGTTTTCTGTCTATTTTTCCCATTTTCTTCTTCTGTATGGTTGATTCTATCTGTCATTTTTATTTACGTTAGAACATGACTAGTCGAAACATCTTTGTTGTCAATAGCATGGATACAATGTCAGCATCATTTCCTTATTACATGAAGTTCCTGCAGGCTTCAAAGTGCAGAAAAAGTCTTTTCATTCTTACAGTTTTGTTTGGATGTTAAGTTAAAGAAAGTAATAGTTGTTAATAAATCTTCCTCAGATGTGGGTAACTGAACATCTCCTTATCAAGTATTTATCTGTATTATTTCTCCAATGCCTCTGTCACAAATATTTCTAGTAATTCATATAAGCATTCACTCCTTCTCACTTTTAATTTCTTAAAAAATTTACTTGATTCCAAAGATATCCTTATTATTTAATAATGTTTGATAAAGTGTATTGTTCACAGCATTACAGCAAATTGAGATAACCACTTCCACAAATAATACTAATTATCATTTCCAAGTACAGTTCAAAAAGACCTAAGAGATAGATACTGAAACCACTTACCAGGAATTCACTCTTAACCATTGCCTGTCAATGGTTTTGAATTCCAATGGTTAAAGCGATGCAATGTATAATTGCAAAAAGGTTCGCAAATAACCATAATCCACATAGTGAAACATGGTTGATCAGGCCATTTCCAACTATGAATTTCAACAACACCACACAGAGCTCTGTGATTCACTTCAAAAACGTCACATTAATTAATTTTGTCATTTCAGTATCAATCCCATTGAACCATTGTACATGATTGTATAATTATGTATTACAGCTAACTCCCATCTTTGCTTTACTTTGTTTCAAGTTCATAGAACCATATTTTGAATTGAAGCTGAATGAATTACTACTACTCATGTCTTTATGATGCTCTACTTTGTATCATTCCTATTGAACCATTGTATCAAATCATAATTAATTACTATAAGTTAATATTAATGTCTGGGGCTTCTGGTGCTTTACTTTAACAGTCATAACATTATAACAAATCAACAGTTAACTTCAAATGTAACCAATAATAAAGTTCACAGTCCCTTACACTATGTCGTCGACTATAGATAAGTGTGTCTCTCAACGCGTTCGACTCTCCCCAGGGACTTTAAATTTATTAGGTGAGAATACTATCTGCTTAACATACGGAACTTCGGGGGTTTTGAAATTATGCACGTGAGTGGCCGAGGTCTTCCTCCATCAGTTAAGATGTAAATTCTCCATATGATCTTTTATAAAACTGACAGTGTCGATGAGACTAAAACACATAAAATATCATGTGCCGAAAGTTTAATGGACACAGTTCTCAACGTGTCTTATTTTAAATATTGTTATAATTGCCCAGACACAGACATACACTGCAAAATCACTTTTATCAATGATCTATATGCGGCTAAAATATATCTCTGTATGTGAGAGGTAGGATGGTTGTTATATTTTAATTTTTAATTTATTCATATTTTTAGGTTGTTGTTGTTGTTGTTGTTGTTGATGATGATTATAATGTTGATGTTGATTATAATAATATTACCACAACTGTGTCACGTAAACCATCATGTTATCAAATGTGTTACTCAACCAACTACATTTATCTAGTTTCGTGTTTATTGTTCAAACAAAGAAACAAACATTATATAATTGTGTATATACCATGTTAATGCGTCATTCATTTGTGTATTCCATTAGCCCTTGATATAAAGAAGGAAGCAACAATATCATTCTTTGTTTCTTTTTAAAGAAATATGAATCGAGAAACGTCCTCAACAACTGATTGTAATAATGTACATGAATTAAAGAGATTGTTTAGAATAATACCGCTTATGAATAAATTAAAATTCTGGAAAGAAGAGATTTTTGAACTCAGAGAAAACATATCATGTGAAATTTACAGACTGGGTCTGATGAAAAATAATATACAGTGTTACAACTCTCACACACCCTAGCACCGCCTACAGCATAATTCAGTCCTCAACACTGAAATTATTGGGAAAGCAAAAAAAATGTAACAATACAAGGATGAAATATGGAAGAACCCTTAACATCAGCTATCTAAATCACAAATATTTTTTAGAAAGGAAGTCTATAACCAAAAATAGGTGAAATTTATGGTCATGTTTTGTTTGTCTATTCTTCGGAGATAATAGACATTCGAACCTTTTTAGGATTCAAGTTGAGGTATTTTCAAACAACAGTTTTGCACTGATCAACAAAAATAAGCCTCAAAAACTGTGGTTGAAGTTGTTGGTTCGTGAAATTATTGCGATGCAAGCTGAAGCTATTGTTATATCAACGTTTCACGTGGTAAAGGTTTTGGAATTGCACTTTAAGTCCTAATTTCTGGTGAAATTCAGCAATTAACAAACTCTTTAAACGGTTATCCAGTCCAACACTTTTAAGTGTTGAAAATTGAGTACTAGTATCGCTCAAGCCGGTGCTAGGGTGGCATGAGGGATGTTGCACTTTTTCATTATCCCTCATGTACAGACTCGATATCAAACCGAATCAGCAATTTTCATGTAATTTTGTTGTGAATAATGCTTCCGAGGGATCACATGTTATCCAGATTTTTAAATCGCAGTTAACGTCATAACTTTTGGTAAAAAAAAAACAACATTCATCTGTTTGCAAACTCTATTAACTGATAAACTGTCAATACAGTAAAGCAGAGTGTATCAACACAATTTGGGATGATTTAATTATCGCAGTAGTGCATAAAATATCAGTAAAATGTGTTAGATGGGCATGAATTGTTGAAATAAAGTAAAGCATTCGCTGAATTAATTTCACTTTGCAGTGAATGCAAACAGGCATAAGTGGTTTTGGTAGATAAAGCTTTAAACATCAGAGGAGGTTGCATAAAGGTTACTTTAAATTATAACAAATGCATTCAAGTAGTAAATAATTATATAAAATATTTATACTTCATATTGTATAATGTAAAATTATCAAAATAAACTGTATAGGAAGAATCACAAAACATTGTAGTTTTACATTTAATTATTCATCTTTAAACTCTCCCTACAAAAGGGACATGGGTGATTAAGTTGTATTGCATTTGATGTTTTCTTTAACACGTCAACTGAAGCGTAAATCACATCACCCTTGTCACTTCTTTCACTAGTGCTACACTCAGTTGATTTAAACTTAACTTCATTTAATTCCAAACTTTTCTCGTATGTTAGATCAGTGTCGATATAACATATAAATCCAACGTTCTCGTCTTTCGAAGGTTTTTCTCTTATACTGGGTCTTGACTGTTTCCCGCCAAATTGTTTCCCGCCAAATTCTAAATCCTGGTCAACGGCACCAGAAAATGCTTCGATTCCAAAAAGAATTTGTGAAGCGGTTGATTTCATCCTTCTGGAGAGTTGTGAAATGTATGTTTTAATGCCATTATGCTGAAAATGTAATCAAAGACATTATCAAAATATGAAATCATTCAGATCAGTCCTTACTTCATACAGCTTCAAATGCGTTTGTAAATGTTTACAAGTAAAATGAAGATATAAACGATTCATTATGTAACATCCTGAAGCAACGAAGATTCAGTGAAATATCAAGTTATACTACTATAAGGTAACTCATTTAGACTTAGTATGTTATACTCAATTGTCGTAAGCAATATAAGATTATAAGCATTTTGGAATGTTTACAGTTCATTTATTTGTTGTCAAATCGTGTGATAATCAACAACTTATGTGATAATCCAACAATATCTTTACCTCTCTTTCTGGATGCAGATTTGTAGTCCGAACTGGAAAAAAGAAGAGCTTTCAAATTATGACATTTTACAAATGACAGATTGTAATATCTGTAAAGTATCTGTAATACATAAAGTCTTTGTACAAACATATAGCGCCATTTTAACTATTATTACTTGTATGCATAAATTTAAAACATATTTCATGCGATATATCGTGAACTACTTGGGAATAAGTGTACGTCATCTCCGGTCTGCATAACCGGTTGAAACTTTAACATCTGTGCGATATCGGACTTTGTATGGTTATACTAAAGCAATTACCGATAATATTTTACTCGTGACTTAGGAAAAATAAACTTATTTAAGTTTGTTATACATGATAAGATGTTAAAATTGGCACATGAATATGACATTTGAAAGTGTATACATGTACTTCCAGTATTATCCAATTTATTTTTCAGTATCTTTATCGAGTTTAGGCGGTGAATATGAGAGCAATATATTGCTGTGCTTCGTTTAACTTCATCCATAATGCCTTATATGTATTGAAACTTTGTTACCAAGCACGTAGCTCTTAACAAAACCAAAGTTTAATAGCCCTTGCACTTATGTGCACTCTGACAAAGATCTAGATTCTGTGGTAGCTAAATGTTTGTATTTTACATTTAAAACTAATAAAATTTGAATGGACTGTTCTGAGATCCCAGCTGGGAAAGTCAATTAAACAAATATAGCAGTTTAAGCTTACGTTCATAATCATTTGCAGAAAAGAACCGTCTCCGTTGTATTGGCCGGTCACTTGTCTTGCTGTCTGAGTTGACCGAGGGTTCAGATAAAGTGTGCTTTAATGAACATTCGTCTGAAAAGAAATAGATTATTATTTCAGGTTTTAGTTTTTTTCTATTTATGTTTCATGTTGCCGTTAGTATGAGTTTGTATAAGATATTTCAGGTGTCTGAATAATACAGAAGAACGTTTTAATTGAGGAAGGTATGAAAAGGTTTAAAATAACATGGAAAGTTGATTTTACAATGAGATTCAAGTATCTATAAAGTATTTGGTTTTTAAGAAAATTAAACTAAAGTAGATCGAACTGAAATAAGTGTCAACACAACTTTCTCAACACGTTCACTCTTATAAAGAATACATATATATGGCTCGGTGTATGCTGTGATCAACGTGGTAAACCACGCTAAGGGAAATTATATATATGTACACTACATATATATGCAAATAAAACAATTTTCAAACATCGAAGAATATGTAAAATATGTACTGCAAATATTTGTCCATATTATATGTAATCATTAAAATAGAATCTATATACATTCCTTCTTATTGTAAAATTTGACTTAAACTTTATAGAAAATAATTTTTTTAATACCTATTATTATTTACATGAAATGTTAAATTCGGTAATATCTTTATAAATAAATGTTTTTGGAACCTACAATAATGATAAATCTTAATTTGAGCATCATATTTATGATTTAAAACCACAAAAAAATTGTGTTACAGGATCTTTAAAGCATTTGTTAGTATCATTGTTACAAAAAAGGCAACACTTTAAAGATCGTTTATTTTATTTCCACATAACAGAAAGTTACCATGTTTTTCTGGTAGAGGTGGGGTGTCTGGCAATTCTTCAACTTCATATCTGAAAACTTCTGTATTACTTGTTCTGACAATCAACGGTGTATCATCGTCAGTGTAACGTAAATATAGCTTCTGTTCTAAAGAATCATATGCACGATCATCACTTACAGCCAGATCTACGTATTCACCGGAGGAAATAGAAGATGCGCGTCTATTACTGTCCCTTTCAACTGGTATATGGACATAGAATGAATTTATCACATTTTCTTTTGCAGGGACAGCAATTAAATCACAAATATTATCTTCATCTTCATCCACTTTCCCAACAACAAAATGATCCAGTTGTAGACCTAGCAACTCTATGGGGCCTGCTAACATGACCAACACATCTCTCGCATCGTCATCGTCAACGGAAATTACGTCATATGGGTTAATATCTAAAAATTCCACAACCTGGGGTAAGGGTAAATGCTCTACGAAATCTTTTAGATTGTCTTTGGTCATATCAGGGACTTTTGTAAACTGGATTGGTGCCAGTTGCCGGAATGCTAGTTCTCGAGAGTTTTCGCTATCTAAACAAATCAGATACGTTTCCCGTGATCCTCTGACATTTTGAATACTTTTGGTAATGCGGTCTAGCTCGAGTATTGTCCCTTTGTAAACAATTTGTGTCGTCTGTATACCCGGAGAGACGCATACTGTATCTTTGTCTACCCTTACAAATCGTGGGAAGTCTTCAATTACCTGTGGATGTACAGTAATATGATATGTTATATACATCGTGATAAAAATATTGATACATACAATTTATTGCCACAAGATTTAACAATGATATTCTGAGCATCTGGTGATGCTGTAAGCTGTTCATATCCATGGTATGGCATAATTTGCCATACACTAGCCGATTATAATTAATGTTGCGTATTTACTGGCAATTTCTGTTCGTTTTTCATTTTCAAAAAAGTTCATGCCTAACTTTAAAACACATTGAATTTTCCTTTAATTAATTAAGTGAACCTTTAGGCTGAAATTTTCACCCGAAATGACATGGTCTTTTTGCGAACTTTTTGATCAACCCTCTATTACAAAGATTAGGCCTACTGTATACATGACATATAATTATGTTGAATTTCAAGTGATATACAGCTGATGATAAATTAGTCATACATTTAACTAGCAAACGTCATGACACTGCGGCACTTGAAATAAGCAGGAAGCTTATTGTTGTTTTGATACTGTATAATTAATTGCGTAATTGACAACCGTTGAACATTAGTGTTGTTATTTGTTTTATTTAAATCAACTAATACAAAATGCATTGCAATAAACAAGTGAAAAAGTAAATATCCGTTCATAAATTTCTGTAATAAGCTTCAACGTGAGCTTTGTGGTCATGAAGAATGACTTAGCCAAATGTATAAAATTAATTATTATGTATCGACAAAGATACGGTTGAAGAATTTTTCTCATGAGCTATACAATTTCTTTTCAAAATTATTATGTTTCGGTATGTAAATAACATGTTTAGTTGTTATGTTGTAAGGTAATGTTGAATGAAGCTGTAGATCTTGTTATGCTGCGTGAATACGAAGAATATATAGCACTTTATAGCACATGTATAGTCCATTATCACATGAATTGCGATTGTATTATAATTATTATGCAAGTAGAATTTTTAACGAAAATTGGCGAAGTTGCGATTGATCAACTCATAAACAAATAAAACAAGAACATGTTGTGAGTTTAAGAAATATTAGGGCAGAAAAAAAACATCGGAAAAGGCAAATTTATCGGGTTAGGGTCATGCAGTTTATACAAACCTACGTACGCTCCCTTCGCAGCTCACTGAATACACTCACGCTACTTCAGAAAGTGATAGTGGAACATTCGACCGATGCGCAGGAGAGTAATACAAGCCATGTATTTTTTTTAAAGTTACGTCGTTTTTTATATTACAAAGGTTGGAGAGATCAATACGTTTCATATCACACATGTATGATAATATAAAGTTTTTATACATTGTTGAGTACACTAATAAATTCAATTGGGCGAGTCCACAGCCGTAAAACTATATTGGACGACTGTTCTCAACCATGTTTAATGTCCTCTTTGTATTTTTCAACACCATGTTTAACATTTTGACAGAACTTTGTAACTTCATTTATATTAAGGATTTGATATGGATTTTGTGCTCTAAAAACGAGGCTAGAGGGATGTGATTTGCATTTGATACGGATCTTTTGGACTGTGGAAATGAAAACGATGCTATAAGGAGTGTGATATGGACGTTTTGTACTAGGGCAATGAAAACGAGGCTTAATTGATAAGATTACACACAATAATGATTTCTATTGGAACATCACCGGTACAAATGCTAAAAGTACATACATGTAGCTTTGAGTTGACATTGGTGTGAAGAAAAGTACATAATGGCTTGGTTCATACCATGTGTTTAGAATTAATCATCCATGAGACAAATGAAAATGAGGGATGTGGTGGCCTAATGCTTTTATAGTTGGTTACTCATCCTTGCGGTTATGAGTTTGAGACCTACCGGGACCAGGACCATATTCCTCATATATGACACAAGTACTGGTTGTTTCCAGAACTAAGAATGGTCCGTAAGAGCTTCAAAAATTCATCTCAATCACCAATAAACATAAACGAGGACATAGGTTATATTTATATCTGATTTGAAAGGCAGCTAGATCTATTAGGTTCTAATAAAAAAAGTCTTGGATCATCGGTTATTTTTATATGGGTCACTTTATTAATGCCGACTTTTCTTCTAAACATTTAATCTTAAACTTAAAAGTTTCACATGTCAATGAGAGTTATAATTAGACTTCGCTTTGTTCCAGAGTCTGTTTGTTTTTAGTATGCAAATGACAGCAAATTAAAATAAGGTTACAATGAAGTTGAAAGTCTTTAATTGACTATATTACTTAATAAGGCATTGTTAACTCACCTCTCGAATATTGTAATATGTACGACCACCAGTTCTCTCATATAACCTTATTTTCCCGCCATAATATAACGGTATCAGGATTTCTGACCCGACCATAAGACTATGGCTCCGTACAAACTCCGCCCCTTTCTTCAATTTAAACCAATCAATGTCATCTAAATCCAAAATACGTGCACGGACAAAACATACGCACAAGTTCTTCTCGAATTTAATCCTGCAGCCTTTTGACTTATTCCTTATAACGTCACTTCCGTAAGTATCCTCCAGTGTTGAACCGAGCGTGTCGTTGGCGACCTTTAACAAACATGGCATTTTAAGGATATCAAGCCCAGTTTTCAGGTCGTATTTCATCATAGACCATTTTAAATGTTTCCTCCTATGAGACATTTTAACTACGTCATTTTCATGCCAGTATACCAACGAATTTTGACCATTTCACTTAGAAATCACAACATTATAATCGCCACTTTCTAGGTTTACCGAGTGCATGTTTAGATAATTGAAAATCCTTTTGAAATTAATAAATAAACATCAATCTTATTCATATCCGATTGTGTAGCAAAAATTTCCAAAGCTTGCATTTTTTACCACAAATAAATTCTCTTTTTGACTTCGTTGTTGATACTGTGATAAAATAGCACACACCTTTGCATATCATTTACGTATACGGCTTTTTGACATTTAAACTGTTGTTATCACGATAAGGTCCACCATGAATGAAGCCTTCTTGTATTTACCGGGTCATTACCATTAATGCAAGTAATATACACATGTAGTTGTTTACAATTGTGCTTAACATTAAAAAAGCAACTCAAGATTATCGATCAAACAATATCCTTTCAACCTTGCATATCAGATCAATTTGTGTTATATATCTCCTTTAAAAATACCGCAGATAAGTTAACGTGTAGTTAAACACTAAAACATTTAAAAGTACGTAAACACACTGTCCAACGTCCAAAACGTTCTTGTTAATGTAAATATATTTTCCTCATTATTATTTTATAACACATAATAACACATTAAACGGGTTCATGTGAAAATGTTAAACGTTCCATTTATATGTAGATGCTCAGTTAGCATGACTTTCGCTAAACAGTCTACTTGCGCGTAAATCTGTGTTGTATAAACTTTTAGATGACACTGAGTCAGCGTAACGCAAACACTTGAGAGATAATAAACATGAAAATAATAGAATCTAAGATGTTATCGCATTTATTTATTTAAACCACGCGCAAGCTTGCAGAGTAAGACAAAAAAGCATTAATGTATTATTAAAACCCTATTTTCGATCCCGCTCCCAACATACAATGACGACACATTGAACAGTAGCATCAAGTTACAATTACTTCAGTTAGACTAGCCCAGGCTATATCTTAAGTAAGCAAAGTTATCTTCTCCAATCCATCTCAAGACGTACACGATTGACCAATGTCAATTATCCCATTGATTGACTAACTCAGGAAGAGGTTCATTGAAGGTGTGGTCGCTGTTATTTGGATGATGTTGTATCACTTTTATCACCTACGAACTAAGGAAGGACCGAAATGATGTCAAAATGAAAGAACGGTAAGGGCGCCAATAGTATGCCAAGTATAAATAAACCTAAAACAGCAAAAGAAAAACAACATATTTTGTTGAGGTTGACTCCGGTTTCTTGAACTCAACAGATATTTACCCTTTGGTGATATGTGTTTAGATTGGATTTAATTGAAGTACAGATACATGCATATTATTAAATACAAACACAAAGAAACTTTCATTTTAGTTTACAGTACATTAATTTTGACAAAGTTTATAAGTTACCTTCCTGAATTTAGGATTTTGTTGTTGTTGTTGTTGTTGTTATTATTATTACTACTATTATTATCAATATAATTATAATTATCATCATCATCATCACTATTATGTAAATTATTTACTCTAGAGACGTATGCATATACTTTATAACTCTCAACTTGAAGATGTCAACCGAAAATATCTACGACAACATTATTTTTATAATATTTAAAGTCCTTTTTCATTGGATAACCGTAACGTTTATTTAAGCTATGTACACGGCTGCTGTCAATTTATTTATTATTTTTCTTTTTTCTCAAATAAAGCGATTGCGATGTACTGTAAATTCGTTATAATGATTCATTTTTGATTTTGAAAAAAAAAACTTGATAAAATTTAAGCGTCTGCACAAATCAGACTATTGCTGGAAGACGCGTATGAATATGGCGCATATGAATCTCAAAATTAAGCATAATATGTGAATTTCCGCTGATCCATATGGGCGCTATTTAACTCTATATATGAAGAGAAAATAGGTTAATCGCTGAGTAAGTTTTCATCTTTTTAAACATTTATATAAAATTCAAACCTTTTTTTTTTTAAAGAAAATCGAAATGTGATTCTACCCTCCTGACTTTTCTCTATATTAAACCATTTTTGTTTCGGACTGTTTATGCAGTTTTCGTAAAGATATTCTTTCCGTCGTGGTTCTGGTGTGCTCAAAACATGCAATGCCTATGAAGAAAATGCCTCTAAACGGACTCAAAATACAGAGTTAAAAAAAAAATCTTACCAACAAACGATTCTTAACATTCAAACCAACCCTTATTGAAACATTTATTGAGATTTGGCACACAAAAAAATGCCGGTCAAATTGCCGTGACAAATATGATGAAGAGGATCAGTAAATACATATAATAATCATAAATAAGAACTAAAATAACCATGATAAACATAAAAAATAACTTTTTAATATCTATTTTGATAAAACATCACGTTTAAATAACTTAAAAACAAGATTTCAAGATTTTAAGATTTTATCAAAAACCAATGCATATAGTAAGCATAAGGTTATGAAAGGTTAAAAAATAAAAACATTATGATAATGAACAGTTATTCAAAAGTGATTAACGAAACATATATTCATAAAATCATGAACATTTTGACTAAGAAATATTACACATATATAGGTATTTATTTAATTTGGTATTTGATTATACTCTTTGGACATAAATGATTATGATTATAGATAATTTATACATGTATGTTGATACAACCAATACACGGGAGAAGTGTTACACGAGGGATGGAGTTCTTATGATAACTTGTTAAGGAGTTCTTGTGATAACTGTCACGGAGTTCGTCGGAAAACTATTGTATATACTGCAAAACACTCGTCAAAAATGGTAATTTTCATCGATAAAAAGTGAGTTTTAGGTGCTAAATTAAATTTTAATGATTAAGCTTGCCTTACATATTGTATTATGTGTCAAAAACTAATTCATAGTCCATTTTTCATCGACTCTTGCTTAAAATCTTGTAGTTTTGAGTAAAATTTTCAAACTATTTGCCAATTCGCAAGTATTGACTTGTTTATTTCAAGTCTTCATCCTTGCCATACAGAATTACCTGATTATAATGCAAAATTGCAAACATAAAGCCCCGACTAACAAATTTATATACCCCAATTTTTCAAATGTCCCGCTAGAGTTCTTGTGATACCTCAAAATATGTCCTGGAGTTCTTATGATAACTTGTGTTACTGCCAATGTGTTCACGGCACGTTTTAGCGTTTTTTATTATTCAATAAGGTTGTAAATACTTATTTTGCGACTCCGTAAAAATGGTATTGCACGGCCGTGCATATATTTTGACGTGACGTCATTATTAGCGTTAGAGAAACATAGTGTAAAGACGCGCTAAATGTTAGCAAATGGCGTCACGTAAAAATATATGCACGGTTGTGCAATACCATATTACAGAGTCGCAAAATTGACTAGGGTATGTGATAAATTATTATATTCAATTTTTCATTTTTAAGTTCAATGTATGTAATTAATGCAATTACAATATTGTAATGTATACTTCAATTATATCCATCGTATCCACTTTTCAATCATCCCTATAAATTCTCTACTTTTGACCTTATTTGTCATGTAACCAAACTGTAAGCACATATTGTGTTTAGGCTACCTTGACTACATATTTATCAGCAATAATGTCAATTATGGCGATAATAAACAATATGTTCGCTGATCGAAAAGTGGCAGTAGATCTATAGGATATATGTAGGCGATGACGATATTGATTATGGTTCGAAATTAGTTATGAATATAGGTGCGCGAAGCGCGCATGCGTTAACATAGGTTTCCGTTTATCAAGTTGCTACTCGAAAATCAAAATAAACTGTAAATTATTGTTTCATATGAAATTGAAAGCATATGGAATTGTAAGGTTGGTGGTAATTAATTAATTCAAAGAAAACATATGTATTCCGTTTCCAAATTGAGCCATAATTTATCGACAAACTGTTAAATTTGTAAAAAATCTAATGTTGCTATAAACGCTTTTCGTGCTCAAAATTATCATACTCATATTGTTATTTAAAGGGGCCCATTATAAGGAGGTGCTAATATGTATCAATCATCCATGTATTCATTGAAAATTATAATGTGTAATAGTTTTTACTTTTCTCGACAAGGATTTCCAAACTAGTGTTGTGCTACTAAAAATATGTTTCAGTAAAGCACAGGAACCTGAAATTCTATCCAAAACAAAAAAATAACGATTTAAAAAAAAATCCCATACATATACTATAAAAAACACAAGGAAGGCAACAACATTTCCCCACCCACCGCCACATTTACCAGGGATATTCGTAAAAACGCCTGGAATTTACTTCCGAGCACACTAAATCGAAAGAAAACAGCAAGTAGACGTCGCCATTCTGGACTTCTCCAAGGCGTTTGATACCGTCCCCCATGATCGTCTGCTTTGGAAAATAGAGAACTATGGAATAAAAGGAGAACTACTAACCTGGCTGTCGTCCTTCTTGAAAGAGAGAACAATGAATATAGTAGTCGAGGGAGAACATTCCAAGAGCACCCATGTTGAATCGGGCGTGCCCCAAGGTACTGTACTAGGACCTCTGATGTTCCTTTGTCACATAAATGACCTACCATTAAGCGTTAAATCACAAGTCAGACTGTTCGCAGACGATTGCCTCCTCTATAGAGAAATAAAAAACCACAAAGATCACATAACTTTACAAAAAGACCTTAAAAGCCTTGAGAACTGGGCGTCAGAGTGGGGAATGAGGTTCAACGCTGGTAAATGTTATATACTGAGCATCAAAAGCAAGACATCACACTTCTATGAACTCAATAATACTATCTTAAAACACGTGGACTCAAATCCTTATCTTGGTGTACTTATCTCCAACGATCTGACATGGACCAACCATATTACAAATATATGTAAAAAAGCAAGTTCAACCTTGGGCTTTCTTAGAAGAAATTTGAAACATTGCCCTCTAGATTGTAGAAAAACAGCCTTTATAGCCCTTGTACGTTCGAAAATAGAATACGCTTCAATCATCTGGGACCCGTTCTTGAAAAAAGATATTGATAAACTGGAAAATATACAAAGATTAGGAGCAAGATTCATTATGAATGACTACAAGTCAAGAAAACCAGGATGTGTTACAGATATGCTGACCAGCTTGAAACTCGACTCACTACAAGACCGTAGGACCTACAACCGCCTTGTAATGCTCTACAAGATAGCAGGGGGTATGGTGCCAGCAGTGGACCCTGATAAATACCTGACTCAGAAAGTTGAAGGACGCTTAATTAAACCAAAGAGATTCAGTGACTGTGAAACCACAAACATTATAAGAGTAGCCAATAACACTAGATCATTTAAAACTATAAACGCACAAACAAATCAATTTAAAAACTCCTTCTTTGTGAAAACACTTGAGGATTGGAACCATCTGGAAGATTCAGTTGTGCATGCAGTTACAATAGGGGGCTTCAAATCAGCCCTTCAGAAACTCGACTAGAGTTCCTCCACTCCCCGTAGGACATATACCAGAAGTGGTCCTCCTACGTATTCACACAGATACAGATACAGAAGCACATTAAAATCTACCAGAAACACAACTTACTCTTATCAACTATCCAACTTTTACGCCAATTGAATGAATTTATCACTGCTCTTCTCTAATCGTCGGTTCCATTGCCAGTTCAAGCGATAAACTCCGTCATACCGTTATTGACCGGTCTTTGAAGATCCCGAAATTCTAATTTCTATCCAAAAAAATAAAAAAACGATTTAAGTAAAAATTCCAAATATATAAAAGTAGTATTTAATATGGGATTTTTATTTAAATCGTTCTCATTTTTTGTTTTGGGTAGAATTTCGGGTTCCTGTGAGTAAAGTTATGAAAATGTGTTTCAGTAAAGTTATGAAAATGATCAGATGATGGTGAGTCCTATATATTTAGGGTCAGATATTGTTAACTTACGAATAAGAGGGATATGATACTGATACATTTGTGTACTTGTGTCAAATGTCACAGGGTGAGAATATTAATGTTCAGCCTGAACAAGACTCAAACCCGGGACCCTCGCAGGGCTCACACTGGCTGAAATAAAATAATAGCCAATATTTTTAACTTAAAAAAGTAATAGCCATAAGTTTCAATAAGTAGGTCCACACCATGTCACGTTGCTTTATATATAAGCTGCTTACTAAACAGCGAAAAAATTTGTCCCTGCAGCAAGTTGTATTACCATATTATTCACTGTTAAAAATTAGGCTCTTCCATTATCCACTGGAGAGTTCAAATTTGCGAAACCTTTATCGAATTTTAAACCTTCGTTATTGTCGCCTGCACTGAATTTTATTTTGGACATCATTTCTTTCGAAAAGTAGCTTACCAAAATCTGCTTTTTTTGTTACTTAAACAGCCTAAATGCTTGCTTTTAATTATACAAAGGGAATAACAATGACCAGTACAAGTTTTAGTCAGAAAATTTTAGGTGTTTAATGTGTCGCTGAAATTATCTAATTAAAAAAACCTTCGTTGTTGCCAATTTATATAGTCTTTCAAATTATAAATATTTTGATTATCGAGGAACACAACACAGTAATAAAGCTATTAGAGACTAGTGTACACGACAGGACCACAAGCAGATATGTTTTGCACTTAAATGGCAAACATTGGTCATCATAAATAATTAGCATTTCTTCAAAAGTAATAACGTAAAACTTTCGTGATCTTAAAAAATAGTAACGTATCCTAAAGATATATCCTGACACCTTCTCATATCAACCAATATGTCACCTTGGTGTAGTAAGAGCGAAGACAATGTTTAAAACATTGTTATACATTAAAATAATCCGGATCATAAATTGAGTTTAAACCTTCGTAATTTAAACTTTCGTTATCATAATTCAAATTTGCCGCGGAAATTGCATAAAATTACTGTGACATCATTTCCAGTGACGTCATATCGGAGTGTCTACTTACCGGTAACTGAAATCACTGAAAACCACCGAAAATATTATTGGAATTTCCTTCTAGAATTGTAAGTATTTTTACCTTAGTTTTCAAAAGAATTATTTTGTGAAATGGTCGTTTTGAAATATATTTAATTTTGTAATTATTAGCGCAATATCATGATTATTTAGTTTATGAATAAAGATGATGATGATTTGTCTCCCTTTGGTATAAAACTCGTGTTGAAATCTATCAAACCTTCGTTATCGCATGATAACGAAGGTTTTATTTTATTTCTTGTGATAAAAAATCAAGTTATACTTTGTGTATATACATTAAACATAAGTCTCTAAAACATTTATAATAGACATATCATCAAACGGACATTATAGCAGCCTTTTTAAATTGCTCTGCAATAAATTTTAGAATAAAACATTGTAGAACATGTTTAGAATCTAGGTATTCATCTTGCTCAACTGATAATTTTATTAATTTCCATCATATCCGTTTACTTTATTTACAATTTCCGATGTTATTGCAAAAAATTATATTGTAAGTGATGTTTTGGTGTACATAAATATAGCCTTAGTGTCCCTTATCATATTATCTTATGATAACGAATGTTTCACGAACATAACGAAGGTTTTAATTTCTTTGCAGGTAAATATCTTAATATGGGAAAGAGTAAAGCAGAAATCCAAAGGGCCTATCGCCAGCGCCTTAAACAGAAAAACAATGAAGAATACCTGAGGCGGGAACGTGAGAGAATGCGCCGTAACTATGTACCTTCATCTGAGCTCTCAGACAGAGACAAAAAAAGAAGAAACGAGCAAAATATAGCTAAATTAAGAAGGTTTTACCAACGCAAGCGTGAAGAGCGACAACGGCAGGTTGCACCACAAGAACAAGACACAAGTGGGTATGATAGTGCTCCAAATGACAGTTCAGAAAGAGGTCGTCTGAGAGTACGAATCCCATTTCAAAACAACAGGAGAAAGGGTGCACTTATTAGGTGGAAACGAGAATTGTCAGAGGCCACCTCACGCATTAGACTTCTTGAACAAGAAAGATCCAAGCTTCTGAAAAGATACAAATCTACTCAAAGATCATTGCAGCGGATGAAGAATAAAAGTAAAAATCAACATCTAAGTCAAGAATTAACACCACGAAAGCAGACAGAACAAGAAATGCAGATGGCAAACTTATCTAACAGTCAGAAGCAAAAAATTAGAAAGTCACTGTTGCTAGGAAATGTCATTGTCAGCGAGGTCAAACGTACAAAAGAACAAACGCCGAAAGGAACTATGAAAGCTGTACATAGAGTCATCTCCGGAAAGATAGCCAAGAAATATAAATGCATCAAATTACTGTCATTAAAAACTGGCCTCTGTCGACATAGACTTGGAAAAAGCGAAAGTAAGCTCCACCAAGTAGCAAGATCATCGAGAAAGAGCACACTCGGGAGATATCAGGAGAGAGTAATAGAGTTTTTTAAAAGAGAAGACAATAGTAAGCTTCAACCGGGAAAGAAAGATGTGAAGAAAAGTGAAAGTGGTGAAAAGAAACAATTATATATTCTTTCTGATTACCTATCAAATTTGTACAAAAAGTTTCAATCAGAAAATTCTGATGTTGATATATCTTTCACTTCATTTAGTCGATGCAGACCCAATTATATTTTGTTAACCTCATTTTCAAGCCGCAGTTCATGCTTATGTACGAAACACCAGAATGCTGCTTTGTCGGTAAAGCTGCTTAGAAAAGAGGGTATAGATGTATCAGCAAACCCAGAAAGAGCAATTGAAAATTTTCCAACTAAAGATGACCTTGAGAAATCGCTGCCTGCGTCAATTGTATGGAGTCAGTGGAACAGAATTGAAATAGAAGAGAAAGGCAGGAAAAAGATGGTAACCAGAGTAACCGAATCAAAAGTCAACAGAGAGCAGTTTTTGGTCAAACTAGAACAACAAATAAAAGATTTCGAATCTCACGTGAAAAGGGTTGCAAAACAGTATGAAGAGATAAAGAGGCTTAAGCAGAATTTGCCAAAACATGAGATACTGTTGCAGCTGGACTTCGCAGAAAATTATAGTTGTAGATCTCTAGAAGAAGTCCAGAGTGCATACTTCAATCAAACAAGTGTTACCCTCCGCCCAGTTGTTGCATATTTTCGAGGCCAAGATGATACACTTCAACATCAAAGCATAATTATCGTGTCCGATGAGATTGGACACAAAGCGTCAACTGTAGTAACTTTTATCGATGAGTTGTAACCCATTCTTAAAGAAATAGATGCCAATATTACAACAATACACTATTGGAGTGATTCACCAATCAGTCAGTACCGCAACAAACATATATTTGATCTTCTATCTTACCATGAACAGCGGTATGGTACCAAGGCTAGATGGAACTATTTTGAAGCCGGCCACGGCAAAGGGCCGTGCGATGGTTTAGGTGGGTCTTGCAAGAGACTAGCCGACGAAGCTATGAGAAGTGGCAAAGCTATTATCCAAGACGCCACTGATTTCTACAAATGGGCTATCAACTCAAGTATGAAAAATGTCCAATTTAGATTTGTTTCTTCTGAAAAGTGCAGAGAAACGGAGATACGAATTCAGAGTAATCCAGTCAAACCTGTCAAAGGGACTATGAGGATTCATGCAGTGATTGGCCAAGGAGAGTCTCGAATCAAAGGCAGGGAGGTTAGTTGTTACTGTACAGATTGTTTAGAAGGTGGCTCTTGTGATGCTTGGGATGATGAATTCACTAGGACCCAAATAGCGGTCAATAATAACAGTGGAAATACAGTTTGTGCTCAAGAGGAGAAAAATAATGAAGATGTAAATGCCGAAAATATCAGACATGATGAAGCTAGAAATGTAGAAGTAGAAAAATGTACACAAGATATGGTGGAAATGAAATATGAAATAGATGATTATGTTGCTTCTGTATATGAAAATAAGTGGTTCATGGGCGTAATAGTTGATAAAGATGAAGAAGAGTATGAAGTTAAATTTATGGAAACCAAGAAGCAGTTCTTTCAATGGCCTAGAAATGAGGATATTGTTTGGCAGAAACCTTGTGAAATATTAACAAAAGTAGATGCCCCAAAAGCTACAGGAAAATCAAAAAGAATGTTCAAAATTAGTGAATATGATAGAGATCGTATTTTGAGTCTTTATGCATTATATAATGAAAAGTAGTGATGCCAGTAAACCTTCGTTATCAACAAGACTGTTTGTGTTAAATTTGTCATTAGGTTTGACATATCATGATATAATTTGAAGCCATGTCGCACAAATATGTTTAAACGTGATTGGCGATGACTATTAGAACTACCGGAAACTTATCCATGTGACTTAAATGATGTATTATGTTATTTTCTGATTCTAGGGAAACCTTCGTTACCATAAGTGTTTAATCGTTTGTCTTGATGAGGTGATCCTATTGCATATCTAGATTATTAGATTGTGTTTAATGGTTTTAAATGAAAAGGAAATAATCTAAGAAACACTTTGTTAGACTATATCGGTTCACTATTCTGACTTTTAATGTTTGTTTTCATGAATTGCTACCATTCAATCAGTAAATTTATGAAATACTATAGACAATGCTATGACCAAATATTCATAATATACATTTTTGTATAAATCATTTCTGTATCTGTTCATTCTTGTGTTGAAAATTAAATAGATCTTCGATCAGATTTAAAACATTTTTGTATTTTTATTAATCAAAACCTTCGTTATTTTTTTGGTGAATTATTAATGATTGGCCACGTATGTTAGATATATGTGGACTTTGCGAAAAGTTGGTTATTTTGTTTTCTACATCGAATTAAAAATTTGCATTTGTGTTTATATGCGATGACTTCAACTAGAATATACGGTCTGAAAAAATAATTTGAAGCATATATATGATTTTATTTATTTATGTTGCAACCTATTTCTAATACAAACATATTATTAAAAATTTATTCTTCGGTCTTGGTCAGTTCGTTTAGTACTTAAAAAAATAAATATTGCTATATTAAACGTTTACGAAAATGTTAAGTTTAGCAAAGTTTTCAAAAATATTATATCAAATAAGTGTACATTATACATCATAGGGCTCTAATAACGGAGGTTTATACGTAATAAATTTAGTCTTCAGCCACCTATGTTTGAGAGATCATTACACGAAAAGTGCGAGAGCGTTGTATACAAAACTTTCAGATATTGTCATAGGGTGGTCAGTCCGTCAGTCAGTCCGTCCGTACGTCCCGAAATCTTGTGAATGCAACTCCTCTTAAACCGGATGGCAGATTTTGCTTAAACTTACAGGGATGAACAACCTTAATGTGTAGATGGTAGTAAAGGATGGAATTTTCGCTGCGACCAAATTTTACAGAATTATGGCCCTTTGTTGATTTTTTCACTAGATACTATGTAGAAATTTTGTGAACGCAACTCCTCTTAAACCGGATGGCAGATTTTGCTTAAACTTACAGTGATGAACAACCTTAATGTGTAGATGGTAGTAAAGGATGGAATTTTCGCTGCGACCAAATTTTACAGAATTATGGCCCTTTGTTGATTTTTTCACTAGATACTATGTAGAAATTTTGTGAACGCAACTCCTCTTAAACCGGATGGCAGATTTTGCTTAAATTTACAGGGATGAACAACCTTAATGTGTAGATGGCAGTAAAGGAAGGAATTTTTTGCTGCGACAAAATTTTACAGAATTATGCCCTTTGTTGATTTTTTTCACTAGATACTATGTAGAAATTTTTGTGAACGCAACTCCTCTTAAACCGGATGGCAGATTTTGCTTAAACTTACAGGGATGAACAACCTTAAGGTGTAGATGGCAGTAAAGGAAGGAATTTTTCGCTGCGACCAAATTTTACAGAATTATGGCCCTTTGTTGATTTTTTCACTTTATACTATGTAGAAATTTTGTGAACGCAACTCCTCTTAAACCGGATGGCAGATTTTGCTTAAACTTCCAGGGATTAACAACCTTAATGTGTAGATCGTAGTAAAGGAAGGATATTTTGCTGCGACCAAATTTAACAGAATTATGGCCGTTTGTTGATTTTTAGTTTTCAACTTAGTGGCACATGTAGTCCAAAAAATATTTGACCTAGAGTCATAAGATTGACAGAACAGTGGCGTGTGGGGGCATCAGTGTCCTATGGACACATTTCTAGTTTAACATAGAACCACAATTTTAATTGTTATTATAGAACAGAATAAAAATGTTATATAGTATAATTACTGTATAACAATAATATTAAAGATTCATTATAAATTTACATTATGCTGTTATCAGACAATTTCTTTTGTTTGTTCTTTAGAATCAAATTTTGTCAGCTATAAATGAGCTATAACCACAGTCAATTTCCACATTTCACACAGAACTGGAGTAGATCTAGGTCATATTAGCCAATAGAAATAACACTTGCAAACTCATTCACAGAATGCAATCTTTTTTCTGAATAACTTACTGAAAAATTTCATCATCACCAATGTAATACAAACTTTCTGCCATAATAGTAAAGATTTTTAAACCTTTAAATAAATATCAAAATTATCGGTGCCGCGAAAATATGTGACAATCGAATTTTTTCTGTTTTCTGAAGAAATATTCACAATTTTGGTTGGAAGTAAATAATTTTTAAATATTTTATAATTGTATTCCACTGGCGATTTAGTCAAGCAGCTTAAAACAAAATAATTCAAAATTTGCCATTACTGCAATTTACGGTAATTTTTGGATTGGTCAATATCCAGTTAATCAATTTTAAGACGATTTTTGAGGCTAATTGATGGATATTTGATGGCTATTATAATGCTGGACATTATCTTTTAAGTTCTTATACAATGTTACATCTCGTATGTATTTTTATCACCTGCATGTATTTTTATCACCTCGGGCATATTATAGTAAGCAACGCGTGACCGATAAAAAGTTGACACTCAATTAAATCTATCCCGCTGGTGTAAATTGGGTCTACTGCATTCTTAATCAATTTTTACACCTTATATAAACACTGTTGGAAGTAAAAAATAATCGCCAGATTTTGTAGCCAAAATGCAAAAATAATCGCCAATCTTATAAAATAATCACATATGGCGACTATGGCGACCGACAGCGTGAGCCCTGCCTCGGAATACCATACCGCAGCTCCACCGACTGAGCTATCTGGCAACTTACACTTCTTCTCCCCTAATAGTGAACAGTTCTTAACCGTGACACTTGTTAGACAATATGGTTTTTCGACTTTGGACCATGGCCATTTCGCTTTCTTTTTATGAAATTATTGACGTAAATAATCTTTGATTTTATTTGTTTTCCTTTCAAATTGTATTTTTTTCGCTTTCTTTTTATGATTTTATTGACGTAAATAATCTTTGATTTAATTTGTTTTCCTTTCAAATTGTATTTTGTACATATTATTTGCTTTTAATTTTGAAAATACTGTTAAAATACCTGAACTTTTTGAAACGGTATTTACCTGTAAATTATGAAATGGTTCTCGGTACGGTCTAGGTACCGGTTATCGGGATCCAACCCTATACATACATTGTATTTTCAGCTTTTCTTGATTTTTATGCTCATGATAATCTTTGAAATGTCTGTTATTTTTTATTATTATTATTATTACACAATGCCAATGGAAACCTATTTTTCAACATAAAATGCACTAAAACTTGATATTCTGTTAGGCCAAAATCAGTAAACAATTTTGCATGAAACTTGCAGGAACAAAGTCTGAAAGGTTAAGTTTACATAATAATTCCAACTTACAGATTTTCAAAATCCTTAAACTTCTCTTTTTTTCTGTATGCCTTGGTCAATATTTATGTATAATATATTATGTCTGTCTTTTCATTAATAATTTTTCAGACAATATATGTACATGTAGAATGGGGACCTTGGTGGAGTCAGATATAGATCAGTTTATCAGAGGACATAAAACTAAACTTCAAGAAGAAAAAGTACACCTTAACCAGTACACAGTATGTTTTTACCTTTTAAAATATCAAGTCCTAAAAAGGCTAAATGTAACTACATTATGTAGTGATTTATTTACCCATTTTTCACAACTACCTATGCCTTTAAAAAAATTGGAAAAATTGAGCATGGTTAACAATAGCAATTTTTATTCCCTGTTGAAATGACATTATTGGTGTTTATGGCCCTTGTATAGGAAAAATATTTGAGTGTCTCCAAAATTGTTTGTAATTGTATACATTCTGATAAATTTTTCAAGTATATATTTTTAAATTGATTTTTGTTTGATCAGTTGAGTACAGGTATATCATAACAGAAGATTGAAAATCCTTTCAGATTCAAAAATTTTTCAAGAGCACTTTCATCTTGGTTTCAATTCTATTTCAAATTAAGAGTTTTTGCATGTTGGTAATTCATACATGTATCTCTGTTGTTGTGTGCTTTGATTATTTTTTCTTCTAATACACTTGCTTTATCAGAGAATAAAATAATTATATTACTAGCGTGCATGTTATTATGTGATTAAAGGCAAAATTTTATTGTTAAATGAAATGAAACTTTTCTTATGCCAGTAACCTTACCATACTGTTTCAATTTAGTAGTTTTGAAGCTTTCAGAACTTGAACTTCAAAAAGAAAATATTTTAAGTGCATTACAATTCAGTGCTAAAATCATACTTAATTTTAATTAAATCATGATAACAATTTCCTTATGATAAATTGTTATCAGGATTTGACTTTTAAATGAAAAAATATTCCTAGTATACTTATTTCACTGTGCTTGGCATTTTAAAGAATTGATTCTGTTCACATCATTGAATTTTGTTTCGTCTTTATCTGAAATTATCAAAATATAATTGTTGGAATTGAATTTCATAAAAGATAATGTAAATTGCTGTAAATTTTAACTTACCTAGAGTTCAATTTTCTTGATCATGTACACAATGTACAAGTATTTTAATTCTAGCTTCTTATGAATGGTATGTCATATCTGTCTTCTTTTGTTGTCATGATTTAATTGTTTTCATGAATTTATTGTTTCCATGTTAAAGTTATTATCATGATTTAATTGTTATCCTAATTAAACTGTTACCTTTAGTCCTTTATTTAATTGTTATCATGTAGATGATGAAGTTATTATCATTAAATTGTTATTAGGAAATTGTTATCATGATTTAATTAAAATTAAATTGTTATCATGATTTAATTACCATATAAATATGATTTAATTGTGATCTTATGATCACAATTAAATCACATTTATATGGTAATTAAATTGTTATCATGATTTAATTACCATATAAATGTGATTTAATTGTGATCTTATGATCACAATTAAATCACATTTATATGGTAATTAAATCATGATAACAATTTAATTTTAATCAAATCATGATAACAATTTCCTTATGATAAATTGTTATCAGGATTTGACTTTTAAATGAAAAAATATTCCTAGTATACTTATTTCACTGTGCTTGGCATTTTAAAGAATTGATTCTGTTCACATCATTGAATTTTGTTTCGACTTTAAAACAGTTCAGAAAAATTCAATGTTTAATAAAAAATTATAAGTTTAAGTTTCTTTTGTACAATTAAAATTGATATAAAACAAGTATGGGTAGTTCTGTGTACTGTAATATCTCAGGATTATATGAACATATAGGAGATGTAATTAACTTTTCTACTCTAGGTATAATTATTTGTTAATAGGCCTAAAATAATAGAGCTATTAAAGCTAAATCTTTATATTGCCACACAATATTGTATGGTAGACCAAGTTTGCATGTTGGTATTTTTATACTTTCATCACAAATATTATATGCATGTGCACAATATCTGTATCAAATACACAATATATAACATTTTAATTAGGACCAGTCTAGGTATCCTGGAGGTCAAGATTTGACCTCACCATCAGGGCGTAAACAATGGGATAGGAATAATGCACAGGGTGCAAGACCTGCTGAAGAGGTGAGTTATAGTTTAGTCAGTGTTGTTTTAATATTTTACATTCTTATAATAATACACTATATTACTTAAAAATGATGAATGTTTAAATTTTTTGGATTGCATCATTGCATTTATATAAAAACAAAAGTCTTAATAGTGTATTCCATATATATGTACATGAATAACCAGTTAACCACAAATAATATAATGTTCACTTATATTTTAATTTGATTCTTACTCAAACTTGCACATAGTCAGTTTTAATGCTGGGCAAGCAAGCTTAGAGTAAAATATTAAAGAAAAATCTACGTTTATTTTGATCATTTGTTGAAAAATCATCATTTAAATGCAGTATTTTAATAACAGTAAGTAAACCTGCGATCACATCATAAATTGAATATTCAAAAGTAATCAGTATTCAATGTTTATTCATGATGGCTCATTATAATATTCTATATTTAGAGAAGAGCACCTGTTGAGCCAGAAGAGACTGGGTTACTACCTCAAAACAATGACATTGAGAGGAGAAAACATCAGTTACAGTCTGAGCGGCAACAAGAATACAATGAATATATTGCAAAGGTGAGTTTAACTTTTTGAATACTTGAGGCAGTGAGTATTTTGTCTATGCCACTAGTATAATGTCAGGCCAGTCTGAAAATCCCTGCAGTGTAAAATTAGACTTTATAGTGTTGGTTTCTGAATTCAAGTATTTTAATATCAGCATCTAGGAGTTTTAAAACCATTCAACTTTTATTCAAAGCAACATGTAATGGTTTCTAATGAAGTCAACAGGTTAAAAGGATCAGCACACTTATTTTTTTTACTTATTATCAACAGCAAACAGTTTCTTTTTCAAAGCAACAACAAACAGTTTCTTATTCAAATCAATAGGGAAAAGTTTCTATACAAAGAAATAGCAAAACAGTTTCTTATACAAAGCAATAGGAAAAAGTTTCCTAGTCAAAGCAGTGTTTGCAAAAGCAAGAAGTTGGTGAACAAAATTGACATTTAGGATCTGGATCTTGTTTCCTTCCCTAATGTTTTACTCTTAGTTTATCTGTTTTTGTTAGTTTTTGATCTCAGAAATTTATTCTCGCATTTATAGTTTAATTTAAAATGTGTTATTTTTAAGATACCTGTATTGTATCATACTTTTATTGTTCTACTTATTTATTTTTATATCAAGTCTTTGTAACTAAATTACATGTAACATAAATGCTCCTATAAGTTGACCTATTAAGTTGTTGTTAATATCTTTCATGGAAAGTGACATCTTAAATTTTAATTCATTTTGATAGCTGTATTTTTATTTTCACATATAAAATCTCTGAATCTTAAAATATTAAAGAAAATAAATCAAGTGGAACAAACAATCAACACTGAATATGTTTTAAGGTTTATTTAATAATGATCTTTGAATCTTGATAATTGTCTTTTATATAAAAACAGTCTTCAGTTGTCTTTAAATTGACCTTGACAAATGACAGAACAAAGGGAGGTCAGAACTGTTACATGAGGCATAGTTGTATGATTTATTAACCATTAATAACCATTCTAATGAAAGAATAGTTATTTTTTTGTCATTTCCATTTTAGAGTGAAATTATGTATTCTTGCTCTAAGCATATAACTTTTAGTACATAAATGTGCATTGTATGCAGGAATGTCTTAAGGTAAAGGAAAGGGTATTGCAGAGACATTCTTGATGTTAGATTTAAAAATTTTGGACACCTGTCCTCAATATATATTAACAAGCGCATTTAAATACTTAAGAGAGGCCCAGGTGGTAGGAGACGGCCCAGAACACCAGCCGAGCAAGGGCTCCCTCTGGGCACTTATGAAAACCGTCGTAAAGATTTAGCAGCAGAAAGACAGAAAGAGATGCAGCAAGCTCTGGAGTTGAAGGTTTGAACACTTGCAGCTTGCTGACGCACACTTTTCTGTTGATTAGATTTTTTTCAATGTATTGTATATAATAGTAATTATACTGCTTAGTGTTTATGGTTTTCACCATGGTTTTAAAACATTCTGTTGTTTTGTTTGGTTGTAGATGTTGAAGTTTTGGTTTGATTTGAATTTTTGAAAAGATACAATTTTTACTCAGTCTAAAAATGAACATGTATATTTTTGTTTGGTTTAAGTTTTTGGCTAAATATTACTATTTTGTATACATTTTATGATACATAATCTAGCTTAGTACCATACTGGGATTCTAATCATTTTAAGTCTGGTTGGGGGTAATCTTAAATCTTACATATATTTCATATGATACATGATAAGAAGTGTAGAATGTATGGTGAAGGTCATTTTCTAGTCTATATACATGTACATACAATGTAGCATTTGAGGGTTTTAAATGTTGTTTTTTGTACATAATTGGTATGCACAGCTTGTATAATCATATACATATACATGTATGCTCATAGCATGTTTTCAATAGCAATGTGCTTCATAATAATTTATAACTTTCATCATTCATATAAAAAAAAGAAATAATGATTTTCAAGAGGGGCAAGGAGCAATGCTATTGTGTACTTAACAAAAATTATCTAATGTCTAATTACATTGTACACATGAGTAATCTAATTGTTTTAAAATTTCCATTTTAAATGGTTATCTGTTACAAGGAAGCTTTTTATGTTGCTTCCCACTTTCATTATTATTCTTAGGCAAAAAACATTAATGATTAAAATATCCGTCCTGTGAGAGGGATATCTTGTTCCAAATCGCAAACATGTCAGTTACCTTTTCTTGCATATATTTAAATGGTTTATATCCAAAATTAGTATTTCATGGAAATATGTGTGATTGATGCCGCATCCATAACTTTTTCTTTAAAGTAGCATATCAATTTATAACTTTATTTATAACAGCATTGTTACAGCAAAAATGACATCCTCTCAAGCATCATTCATAAATGCGCCAAGTCATGACGGCCATTTTGAAGCATAATAACTCGTCTTATACATCTCATGCCAGTTGAAGTTTCTAGCATACATGAAACTAATTGAGACATCAGTCTGAAATGCAAGAACTTTTTCCCCAGTACTTTTATTTAAGATTGTACCAGAAACTGACATAATATTTTAGCCTGTCACATTGGGTATTGTTTTTCTGTTTCATTAAATTAGCAAGTTGTAATTTTAAATGATATACTTCATGTATGAATAATTAATTACTGATACAGAAATAAAATGTTGCACTAGAATGATAATTCATATTACGTCTAGTAAATAACAAAGAATTAGGAAGTAAAATAAACTGCTTAATTGGACTGGCCTTTTCATGAAGTGATTATCTATTGGTGTAGTTGTCATTGTATGACCATTTATATGTATGTGTTACAAACTTACAAAACAATGAAGAAACATCATATTAAAAATTCTGCTCTTGTAAAACTGAGTATACTTTATAACACAGGGGAAACCTACATGTTATGATCAAAGTAGTCAAATTAGCAACAAATTATTGCACGCCATTACATACCAGAATTTTAAATTAGTTATTTATTGATGTAAAGCTCACTGCACGATTGCATTTATTTGCTGTTAGTTATTTCCTAAATTTATTTATAACTTGCAAGTTTTAACTAGCATATGGGACAAAATGAAATAGTAAAAGTTTGTAAACCAGTCTTGGACAACTGGCATTGGGGTTTATACAATTTTTTATCTTATACAATTTTTTATCCAAGTTCAGTTTCAAAACTCAGGTTTTTTCATTGGTATAATACACATTGTACATTATGAGCTGGTTTCTGGCCAATCTGACCGCCTCCGTGGTCGAGGGGTTAGAGTCGATGACTTCTAATCCAGTTACATCTCTGGCGTGGGTTTGATCCCCTGGAGATGCTTTGGTAGTTTAGCGCGGAGGAAGGTAGTCTAGTACTGGTGTAACTCTCCAGGAACGATGGTTAGGAAACTACCTGCCTGTATGACTGAAATACTGTTGGGAAAAGGCGTAAAATGAAACAAACAAACAAACAATTTTAATGAGCAAAAAGTGTTTGAGTGCAAATGTGTTTTAATGTTTTCCCCTCAAACTTTAGTAAATCCTGTCATGTATCGGCTTGATCTGGATTTGGGTCGAGGTCACTGCTTACTGTAGATTGGAGATGTTTGATCTGGACAGTACAAAATTTTGTATTTAACCCTTACCCTGCTGGAACATAAAGTGTTTAACCTTTGCAACCAGTATACAGCCAGGCGAGTCTGCACATCTTTGCAGTCCGAAAGTTGATAATGGACAGTTCCAAAAATAGAAGCAGGAAAAGTCCATTTATGAGTTTCAACAGGGTACTAAGAGGTTAATACACGGCAGGAGAGGGCCGGAAGGTGATAATCGGCCCACAAAATGAATAATGGACCCGAGGGCAATTATTCATTCAGGGCCGATTATCACCTTCCGGTCCTACTCTGACGTGTATTAATGTCTTTAATACACTTGGTAGATCTAATAGTATTTTTTTTAAAAAACAAAAACAAAACAAAACAACAACAAAGTTCTTTCGTTGAAATTCTTGTCTACTCTTCTACTGTTCTGTATAGATATGTTTACTGTTCAAAGCAGTAGAATCTAAGTGCTAGAAGCAAGTTTTATTTTCATTTTTTTCGGAATGAATTTGACGTATTATTTCTTCAAATTTCAATAGTAAAAAAAATGTGTTTAAACTAAATACATGTACGCTTAAGCTCTCATAATAAAAAATAAAGCGATTCGTGCTGACAACCTACTTTCACTTTTACAGTTAACTGTTTGATGACGTAAAATATGACGTCATTGTTTCAGTTTGTGCACATGCACATGTTCTGCGGGCTCATAACTAGTTCTCGGCCCCGGGCCGCAAACTCATAACAGGTCACGTGACACTCATAATCAGTTGAAATCATAGGCGATTTGTTACTATATATAGTAACAAGTGTATTAAAGGTTAATAATTTGCTTATCACAGTAATGTTGTATACCAATCAGAAGTTATAATTGTACAGTATATACACTGTATATAGAACATAATCTTTCTTGTTTTTTGTGACTAGAATGCAGGAAAAACGAGGAAAGGCAATGTTTTTGATTACCATGAAGTAGAAAAAGCTCACATGGCTGAAAAAAGGATAGAATATAATGAATATTTGGATAAGGTATTCAACTGTGTGTGATGCTAGAGTAGACCATATTAATATTTTATATACAATTTTATATCTATAGTTGATTGTTATATACATCTATACTTGTAATACTATAGCCTTTTTTAAATACCATTTTGCATTTTTTGTCATATGTTTTAAATATGGAATTGAGAAGCTTTTTTGTAGGTGACTTTTGGATGTAAAAAAATCTTTCTAAACTATGAACATAGGAAAATATTTTATATGGTATTAATAATAATGATATTATGTATGTAAAGTATTATAGTTAATATCACTTACAAGAGCAATCATCCATATACTGCGATCTGTCATACTGTGAGCTTAATGATCATTTGATGCCATTCAAATATTGATTTTTACACTCATTAATTCATTCATCCAAATTTCATGTTAATATTTAATGTATGAATGGCTATCACCTCAAAAAATATTTACTGCAGAAAAAGTGTATGAGTTAAAAATATCTTGAAAGAATATTAGTTAAACATTATACATGAAGTTTAAGTACTGTAATAATCTTATTTTTATTTTATTTTTTGTTGGGTTTTAACTTTTAAGTCCCATCAACATTTGGGATTCTTTCATGATACAAAATCAGATACAAAATAAGTTAACCAATGTATGTACAGTAGACCATGTTAAGTGTATTTGATAAACAATTTTTATTTTGCCACTGTGACAGAAAAAGCAGCAGTCCAAACGACATATAGTGACCCCTGAACAGGGCATGTTTGTAGGCCCTGACCAACGGGATAGGGACCAACAGATTAGGGAGAAAAACCGTAAAAACCGGCTTGCACTTGAAGAGGTATATGCAGTAAAGTAAAAGGATAATGATAGAATAGATTTGTTTTTTAAGGCAAATTTACATGTGGAGATACAAATCATGGTTCATAATAATAACATAAAAATAAATAATTGTATGTCAACATTTTGTTGTAAATAAGTAAGATTGTATACGATGAATCATATACAATGTATGTTATGATTATTTGATACATATCAATTGTATCTAAG